TTCTAGACAACAACTTCTAAAGGATATTAATATACATATTTCTTATTTATATTACCTTTAATGTTGCCAGCACAACAAAACACAACAACCCAAAATCAACATTAAACTCTCCCAATCCGGACTGCGATCCCCACAGGAGAAAATAAAGCGTTAAAGGTACACTACCACAGGGACTAAACTTTTTAAATTTGGTTTAATTTTCTTTTTATTAATTTTTAATTATTTTTATTATTACTATGTAGGTTAAGAAAATTGTAAATACTGTATACTGTTATGTTTAGGTTTTAATAAATAACCTTTTATAGAGATATTTCACATTTTAATTTTCCGACACTTGGATACACTATTACATTTGTTACATTAAAATAATCTATTAAACCAGGCAGTCAGGCAAACAAAATAAAAAACACAACACTATTTTATATAAATTAAAACATAAAAATGTAAAAGAGTGAAAACAATTTGTGAATATTCTTTATTCGTTCTTTAAACAAAGGATATGTTATGGCAAGAATACAGCCTAGTTCCGAGGTTAGCACTTGCGTCAAGTGTTTCTTTGTGTCCTTAGAAAACAAAGCCTTTACACACCTACGATTAAAAGTTCTTGTAAAGAATTGTGCCTTTTGTAGTTCATAAAAGTAGTGTTTCCGATTCTGATTATTATATCGGATCTTCGCAATCTATGAGCTTAAACGTTTAAGCCTGAATTACTTTGAAAACGTCTTATAAAGTTTAATTATTTAATTAGGAATACCATTTTGTTTATTTTATTATTAAATCCCACTAAAGTCACGTATAAAAAGTTTAACACCTGGCATATATGAGCTCTAATTAAAATTGAATGCGCATGTAGCATACAAATTACTGCGTTTATTTTTTTTTAATATTCCATCTCTGATAGAGCCAGTTTTTAAAAGCATTAAAATGCCCAATGGACATACATAAGCGGATCATAGCGGGCAGCAATAATCCAAATATAACATAAGCCATTTCGGACCTAAACTAATATTAATGTACTTCTAAAATATGGTATCATTTTCCCGAGTTATCTTATTCCTAAAGACCCGACCCATTTAACAATCCCTAGTAAATGTCTTAATCTTGAGAAACATTATGAGAAATTAAAATAGGATAAGAAGTTAAATTAGTTTATAACAACAGTTTGTAACTATAAGGTAAATACTAGCTATTAATTTCTGTTCGCTGACGGTTCCATCAACTATTTTGTTCGTCGAAACTTTATCATGGGAACTTTTAATTAAGCAGTTGTTTTCTATGTGTTGTTTTAATATTGACGCCTTACACAAAACTGCAGCTGATATTATTGTTTAGGGACTTTTGGGGCCTTGTAGAGTGGTGTCACCTTTTTGGTGTTATGAGGAAACCGCCGCTCATGGACATCCACAACGCTAGTATGCTCACGGCCTCGTGAAAAGTGGTAAACACATTATTTAGGGATATTAATTGATACCTACTGATTCTGTAGACTTCCTCTCGTCTACTGACTTCCAGAGTTACGTCGATGGATTTCTAGAATGATATGTGGCACAAACATGCTTATCTGTAAGAGGGACCTTGATTTTATGTAAGAAATATATTTGGCTCTTGATATTAAATCAATATTTCTTTGTTTCAGATACATTTATCGAGACCGGAAAAGGAAGCCATTGGCAACGATTTTAAGACTAGTTTAATGTAAAGTGAAGTGAAGTGTAGTGAATAGTGACGCCGATGTAGGTTTATGGGAAAGTGCACTTAATACAAAATGGTAATGGTTCTATTTTTACTTATCTGATTCACATTTTCATACAGTGAATACTATTTGCCTTAGTCAAATTACTCGGTCAAATAGTTATCGTAGGGTTTTAGTATCCAAAATAGATTTTTCTATAGTCGGGCAGCTTTTCCAGAAAAATCTACGACTCGTAGTCATTATGAGTAATAATAATTGCTATATTAAAATAATTTATCGATTAATAATTACAATACTAATTCAATCCGCCCTATCTATAAAATTTGAATGCGTTTATTCAACTTCGACAGTCTTCGAAATACGCTTACGCTGTGATGAAAAGGAGAGCTGGACACAGAGCCAGCTTTAGATACTAAAGCTTTAATGATTAGTCTTATTCATATGTCTTTTTCTGTAAAGTTATGTTTACAATGTGATAAAAAGAGACAGCCTGTTAAGAGTGTAAAACTATTATTTTACTGCAAACATACGAGGCGTTGCAAAATATTGTAAAATTATTATCTTGATTTTCAATTCACTGTACGATGTAAATTTCGTTGTATCGTATTGAAAGCTCCAGGGCATTGCTTTGACTAGCGTCCGTTCAATGGTACATAGATGAATTGTTGCTTTATGTATTGCCTGCATCGATTGATCAGCGAAGTAGCCAAAATAGTTTATAGGTTGGCAACTTCCTCCCTCTAATAAAAACTTCGTTATAAACTTTACTACGTTTTCTAGTGTTTTGTGTATAGGCAAGTACTGCTATACAATCAAAACTAAATATTGTATCGCCGGGGATTGACGCGCCTCTGTTAAAGCCCAACCTTAGAAACAATATGTGTTTAACGAATCGTTATGTAGCTGTGATAATGTATATATCCCTTTATTGTTACAAAATAAATCAGTTTTATTGAGCTCTTTTAATTTTTGTTTAACATGTACCCATCTGTCTCTTTTCATCACAGTGCAGCGTACCTTTGACAGAAAGAGACGTAGGCGTACTGTTAGTTTATGAATAAGTCCCTCTTATTTCGCTAAACAACGGCGTTGATCCATCAATGAAGTTAAACGGGACTGATCGTGTTCAGGCACTGGATGGGTTTCCGAGTGTGGTCGACATTTGTTTAAGCCTAAATAACTGTCATAGCCTCTTAGCGAGGCTATGTTAGTTAAAACATGTCTAAAGTCAAAATATTTTAAAATAAATAAGCGGGAACAACAAATACACTATAAATAAAGAATGTGTTTTAAATATTGTTTACTTTGTCCACAGAGTAAAAATGGACTTTCAATTAATTCACATTTCAATTAATTTAGAGATAAGTAGGTAGGAATGATCGCAGTCTGGTTTATGTAAGGAAACGTTGAACAAAGAAAGGGAATTATTGAGGCTAAAACAAAGCCGAAACGGTTTCTTTTATTATGGAAATTTTTGTACAAATTACTTCGTTAACTTTATTGCGTAACTTCAAACAATTTATAAGTCTGGACAATCTGATTTTGTTTCAAATATCTGAGAATAGGGTATTGGTGAATACGCTAAAATTTATTCACTTCAACAATCTAAATATACTTTTAGATATCTATGGTTTCTTATGGTTAAAAATGTAATCAATGTTTGTGGTTTAGAAATACAGATTAGGTAATTTCTGTATTAAGGCAAATTATGTATTAAAATTATATACATTAACTGGCACACACATTTTCACTAAATTAAATAGTTAAAAAAACATTAAAAACGTAAACGAAGAAAATTATATAGGAAAACACAGTATGTCCAACAAAGTTATATAATCTTTGTGATGTCATATTTTCTTGTATTTTTTAGGCATACACATTGTTTTAGAACGTATAAATAAATAAATTTAAATATAAATAAATTCCATTGTTGTCAGAAATGCCACAAGATCAATTTTCATGAATAAGTGTACTATAAGGATATGAAATAGCAATCACCTTAGTATACTAAATATTAAGTACTTTCAGTAAGCTTCTGGAATAAAAATAAATGAAGAAAATCATTATTATTTTAATGTTTTCGATACTGTCTTCATTCAGCTCACGAGAGATCGAAATGTTTCCCATATTAATCAGCGAACTTTTATTGATTTCGGACAAAGTTTTATTGAATTTATATAAGCGAATCAGGAAGTTAATTTTGTTCAAGTTAAATTAAGAAGTTTTTATGTGTTTTTTTGGGAGCGTTAGGGATCTGCATCCCTGCAAATTTAACAACGTATGTACTCACATCACCGTCTGTGTATAAATTATTATACAAAATATATAAAACAGCTAATAAATAAAATTTTAATTATTTATACATATTTTATAAGATACAAGCTGCCCCCGGGAACTTTGTTTCGCCATAACGTGATTTTTTTACTTGGTCTACATTTTGCAAACCAACATATTGTGCTTAAGAATATATTTTGCAATTAAAAACAACGAAATCATAAAAGTCATATAGATAATTCTAGATTCAAATTTTCAATATTTCGAGTACGTACTTAATAACAAAAAAAAACACTCAGTATAAGAGATTATATTTCAATTTGGTAAGCTGTCAAATTATTTATATACCTGCCGTACCTGGTCCCTTGACCACAGGGAAATATAGGATTTATTGTGACATTCAACAATACAGTATTCACCTTAGTAGCAGAATCAATGTGAATACAGATAGAGGATTTTATACTTTAGACACTAGATTTGAGAGCATCAATTAGTTTGTATCGATCGATGATCGGCTCGGTGCCGGAAATAACGAATTATGTAAATAGCGCAATCGACTGTGCAGGCTGCAGTGAATCGTAACAATAATGTAATGACGAGATTGGTAACAAAATGTAACTCGCACCTTTGCCATATGCCAATGAAACACTCTTCGACACACGTTTTTGTCAAAAGTGTATTTCGAAATTATTTATCCAATATTTTATTTGTATCTTTTAAGCGACATATCAAAAACAATTTGTTTTGAAACTTGATTTAACTTAAGGTAAAACTTATTAACAAGAGTATGCCATGGCTTTCTACAGCTAATGATTTGGATTATATTTGAAAATAAGTATACTTAGCATATATATATTCTCAAGCATAAAACTGCTTTTGAAGCATAAAAGCGATTTTGTTTGAATTAATTTATCACAAACATCTTTCCGCTTTGATACCTTTTCTTCTTTTCCATACTTTGGCCATTTATATTAGATTTATAGAGTGAGTCATACCTATGTGTTTAATATACCGTCTTTTGTTTCAGGGTTTAATGTCAATCATCAAATTAGGCTATACTATGCTAATAGTCGCATTCCTGTTAATGATATGGGCGTCACTATCAGGAGCTTTAGAAGTAAGTAATTTTTCATTTTATTAAGAGCGTATCAATATTTATTGGTAGGCCATTAGAATAATGGATTATCTTGTAATGTGTGATTTCTAGCTAACAAACCATCGAAACTTGAATATCCTCTATACTTCTATAGTATAGTGTGTGCAATAATTTTCAATAAGGGTTAACTCAACTATTGGTTACAAAGGTTACATAGGGAAACAAAACTACAAAACCGTTCCACAGGTTCCTTATGTATCTTACAATAGCAATAATTACTTCAAAATCCCGTAACGTGCGATACCAAAATCGATAGGCATGCCGCTATTAAACATTTATGGAACTTAGTGCAGTTGATATGTATGTTGTAGTGTGTTGTTATGTTGGTTGGTATGATGCTTGAACCTCCATGCTTTGGACTTGTAATCAGCAAGGCGTCGCGTTGGTACACTGTAAGTCTAATAGTGAAGCGACTGCCATCCCCATGTTGCGACAGAAACGCTACGGAGATTGAGAGAACTACATCGAAATTGCATACAAAAACATCTATATTGGAAGATACTGACTCCTCGCGTTACTCCGTTCTTCGTACTATGATAATATTGGAGCTATGAGAGTTATGGAATACTGAGTGTACTTTTGTTTACACAAATTATTGTGTTAGGACTGGTCGTAAACAGTAACAGCCTGGCGTGAGTTCGAAGGCGGTTGTTGGAGGGATGTTCAAATGTGTGTTTAATGAAACTCTTTGTTTGAAGCTGTGTGTCAACTGGCTTTAATGATTTAAAACATGACCTTATAATTAACATAAATTAGGGGGGTTGCAAAACTTGATTAACAAAAACACTAATTTAATTGTAGTCTACCTATTGGATGTTATCTATATATATATCGTCGGAAACGAGAATGTTTTATTACAATTTATGTGTCTGGGACAAACTAAAGGGCTCATTTTGGCTTCACGTGTGCGATGATTGCTAACATTTGGTTGGCGCTTCTAATTATTAACTAATATATATGTAACATAACTAATATTAGGTTACTCGTGGCTAAAGGCTAAATCAATCTTAATTTAAAGTTGTTATAATCGTCTGGTGAAACACTTCAATAATGTAGTCATAATTTCAAAGATAGTTTAACATTAATTATACATAAATTTCCAGTTTCTACGTTATTTATTTAATTGCTTTGCTCATAACCCCTTAGCGACAATTTTAACTGTCGCAACTATTAAAGAGTCCTTATAATGAAGTACACTTACTGACGTCTGAACTCTTCCTAGTTCATATTTCAGTTTTTTCCATCACACTTAAATGTCCTCCAATTAATTAGAGAATAATAATTAGAGTTAGTAAATAGGGTAGTATTTATATGTTATGAAAAGTACCTAAAGCAGGTATTTATTACTGACATCCTGCAATTGTACTTACAATAGCGACAGATATCTTGATTTCAATTTTGATAAATTTTGTAGATTTAATGGGAGTGACTGAATACTGCCCGTATTTGCTGTCTACTATAATCTTTAAGAAATCACTGAAAATTACAGAATTTTTTCTCTATGTAGTATGTGAATAATGTTTATTTTCAGGCATTGTCTTTAACAGAAATGGAACATTCTATGAATATAATTATTAGTTATTAAATCCTGTGGGAGTCATCTTGATCCCTTAATAACTGGAACTTTATTGTCGGAATAAAAATTCGGCGTCGTTGAATTGAAAATTCGTTCTTGCGAAAATTTCTGTCCATTCCTCTATTTTCAATTCAACAATTCAGTTCTCCAAGTATAATTTCACGGACCCTTACTCTGAATAGGCATTTCGTGTAATGAAAATACCTTCATCCTTCATACATTTATAACCACCCTATGATAGTGTGGTTCTTGTGGACACGTCGAACAGAAATAATTTATCAATATGAACACCGTAGTTTTCAAGACTTTGTTGCTTGTTTTTATCAGTTACTATGCGTATAGATCTTAATTCTTTGATATTTAATCATACATTTAAAAAACCTAACATTAACATTCTTCATACGTCGAGGCAGCATTCGAAATTCCATCAGAATCACCTCGAAGTCCCACGTTCCAACACTCAGCGTTATCTAATGCAGCTTTTGCCGCGCACCATCGCGAACCACATACATACGTATTTTCGAACCAATTTTTAAAAAGCCGGCAACGAGTGAGAGTGTCCACGGGTGGCGGTATGCTTTTATGAGCGTACTGCACTTTTGTCCCCTGTTCTATAAAAAAACACAATTTAGAATTTTTTCGACAAAATACCGAAAAATTATAAAGGAGTCCCGACGTTGCACGTGCTTTTTTGTCAGGCTTACTGAGCAATTACTTGAAATTGCTTGAGTAAGTTTAGTTTTCTATACCTTATTTTGCTAAGTCCTAATCATGGATTGAAAGATAAAACGTACCAGGCGAACATAAGTGTGTAGAACATAATAATTAAATCATAGATATATTATGAATTCTTTTCAATTTGTAACTCTTTTTAAAAATCCTTCTATACACTTTTGTGAACAGTTATTCAAAATCCGTTTCACAGTTTGTTAAACACTGTCAAACGAAACAAACGTTGCAGTTTTGTTTCATTTTTATTGAAAGAGAATACACGCTATTTATTCATACTCATTTTTAATTATTCTATATGATAAAATTTTATGATTAAATATACATCATACGATTCTGTATTTGCGCAAAAATTTATGTTGTTTTTCACACCGTAATATTCGAATTATTGAACACATAAAAAAAACACTTTTTTTATTCAAAGACTTCACAAATTCCTCCTCGTTTCTTTTTGAAGGTATTTAAAATAATTAGATATAGATATATCTTAGTATAACAAAAAATAATTGTTTTTACAGTGGCATGATGTGGGTTATAAAAACACAATTTATTTTCAAGACCTATTAAACTGTTTATAATTTTGAGAAGACAAGACTTGAGGAACGAGAGAAAAATAAAAAAAGAGTTTACTGGCCGTAGTCTTGTGTATGTATGCCTTTCCATAAAAACATATCTTTTTTCAGTTACACGTAGATACGGGACACCCACCATGCTTATTCCAAGCCCTTTGCACCTGCTCCAAGCCCGCTGGGGACCTGGGAATTGTGACCTGTAATTACGTACCGATCCTGAAAGTCCCGTCCGCTGTGAATAACTCCAAGGTCTTCACACTGCAGCTCACTGGGAATAGGATCAAGGATCTGGAGCCCCAGTTCTTTCAAGCAACAGGTAAGACTTGATATAAAATAATATTATGCCATCACTTCATATTACACAGCAAACTTTGGCACTACACTAGACTTACGCAAGTTTTCTGAAGTCTTAGTTTTAGGAGTATGCTGTATGACTGTCTATATTTTATCTATGTGTGTCTATAATTTACTTAATACTATGGAAAAGTCGATGTCTACTTCGTATCTTATTACAAAAGTTCTGATTGAGGAATCAACATTTCTCAACAAAAAGGAAACCAACAAAAATGGGAGATTGCAGAGATCTCGCAAACATTGCAAACATCCCTCGAATATTTTGTAGGCGGCTGATGTTTTCACACCAAAATACAAAGTGAATTCCGTTGCGCTTGCCAAAACACTCAATGCATTTAAAGCATAAAACATAGCTTTGGGTGCTATTTAATAAAATTAACTGAATTAGTCGATTACCCATAGTATACAAACTTACGCTCTCTTTATTTATTATTAAAAAATCTCGTAGCCATAGTCGTCAATGTTTGTTATGTAATTAATATTTTACGGTTTAAAACGACAAATTGCAAATTTGATATCACCATTATGTTAATAGATGATCATTTTTTAACTTATTAACTGTAACTTACCTTCGAGATGTCAGTACTCAAATATCCTAACTCTAAATACTTAGTTACTTAGTTAATAAATAGTACAACTAATATAATAGCTACTTTCATTTTTGCATTAAAATAGTTTTGCTACAATAGAAACAAATTTTCAAGAAAATCAAATAACGCCACCTCGAATCCAAGTTCTAGGTATAATCATCTAGGTACACGTTTTACCTAGCAATTCATTGAATTTATGAAACCTTGACATAACATGATAATTACAAACAAGTTTGTATCAACAAAGCTAGTAATAATGTTGTCTCTAGTAAATTGGTTAACGGGTATGTTGGGAATATAACTTTGTTTCAACTTTGATTTACATACATAATTAACGATATAATTAACAATTGTACGTAGTTTACATTCAATTATGTTTATAGTAAATAATTAATTAATTTCAATTAATGCCATGATTTACGAAGTTCGTATGGTCCCGAAGTTTGGGTATAAAAATTTGTTCAGCGTTCACATAATAAACACTGCATTGTTTCTTATTCTTGAAACATATCCATTTTTTTCTTCAATTCTAAAAATTTATGGGTCTAATCTATAAACTGTAGATAATAAATAGTTACACTTATTCACTTCAAGTATAACAATAACAATGCTATGGCAATACAAATTAAATGCAAGTTAAATTGAAAGGAAGTCTGGTGGCTGGCTATATTCTCGTTTGTAACTATGACAGTTTAGATAACGCGGAGCTAAAACTAAGAAAGCCTGAGCGAGCAGAAATGTACAGCCTTGGTTCGTACAAAGACTTGTCGTAGTGCTCAATACTTGTGAGAATTTATTTGCTTGAATAAACTCTGATTTTATCTAATCGAATTAATATTTTCTAATACCAAACTTTTTATTTCCAGGGCTTTATCGATTGGCGATAAATGAAAATCCACTAGAGTCGATTCACGAAGAAGCTTTCTATGGTCTGGACAACACATTATGGGAACTGGAACTGAAGCAGGACAGATTGGCGGCAGTGCCGAGCCGAGCGCTGAGGTATCTGCAGAAGCTTCGCTTGCTGGACCTCTCGGGTAAGAACTTTTTAGGGGCATTTGGGCAACAATGTATCTAGATAGTAAATTTAAAAACGAAATGGGCAATGCGCTATGTGTAACCATTGGCTATTTTTTACAAACAAAACAAATATATCCACCTAATAATAAGCCTGTTTGTAAAGTAATATTCAAAATACATATAAGTACTGACTATAAATGTAAAGGCCTAAACAGGGTCATGTCTTCTGCTGGAACTAAACCATATGAGCATGTATTAGCATCACAGCTTAAGGAAAATACGCTGCTGTTGAAGTATTTTGTTTCTAGGACTAGAATACGGCGAACAATTCTCGCTCGCTCAACCTCTCATGTGTTATTTTTATGTGCGCAATTATCTTTATTATTATATTCAGTAAAGTTCTATCCTGGACACCAAATAATAATTTCTGATTATTCTTTAACTTCATACTATGCCTTGTATTGTCTTTAAAAAAATTGTTTTGTAAATAGACGCCATCTATTGATACATTAAAACAACCTATTACAAGCAAGGCTTTAGAAAGCAAAAAATCCTTACGGTTTGCGAATCGAGACATTGCATATTTATACTTCCTACCAAAGGCGTTTAATAGGTCGAGTGGAACAAAACATGGGAATTGCTTACTCCACCGCTGGCGTCTTTACTCGTCATACTTAAAGCATTATTATGCTAAATAGACTCTGTACTGCAAGGATAAGTACGTGTCCTATTTATTGCGATACTTTTTATGACGTGAATCACCGTGTTCCCGTTTTTAATTTTCTGCAACATTACAAAATTAACTAATCAGTATGTGCCTTTTTCCACAGGTGATATTATAAAACCATTAGAAATTAAATTAAATTAAAATTAATATAATTTAATTTATAAAGAGAAAAATCACATAAATGGTGTTTATTACACAAATTTACAATATATATATTCTATCAGGTTAAAACCAATTCTATGGTTATGCTTGAAGGCACTCGATTCTTTGGGACTATATCGATAAAATAATATAATGCGTTATGTGTCACTATAGTTTTTGTTTCTTGTGAAAATATTTATTCTTTAATCTTAGTAAAATAAGATTTTGCGAAAACTATTGTAAATTTAGTTTCGCGAAACAATGTACTAGGTAAATTGAAAAAAGTTCTCACGACGGAGTGCGACTATATGTGGGAATTCAAGTTTGTTAAGTTAAATTGGAAAAAGCAATTTACCGTACAAATATAAATTTATTTTTTTGTAAATTAAAAAAAAGTAGCGATCTCTTACGTTGAGTAATAATTTCACTTTGTTCAGCCCTGCGATTCTGTAACTCACTTTTCGAACTCACACAGCGGATTTGGCATCGACGGTCGCTCCGCTGTGTGAGTTCGAAAAGTGAGTTACAGAATCGCAGGGCTGAGCCGGAAATTTAATTTACCCGTAATATAAAAAATCATTGATCGTCTAAGGAACAAATTATAAAGTTCAAAGATAATTGTTATATTTCCTTCGTATCTCTTTCACTTTATTATTTTGTCTGGAAAAGTCAAAAGATTATATGCGATGATGCCGTTTCTTGTATTTGGCCTATACATATATATATATATATATATAATTCTGTTTTGTTGCTTTGTGTGTACAAACAAAGACACTCTCACTTACAATCGTTAAGATGCGATGCTAGAACGGAATGGCTTATTATGTATGATATGACCTACTTTTATTCTGAGCATTACCATTCGGAGATCCAATTAAATTATATGAAATATTATATGTTATTGAAGCCTGTTGTGATGCAGAGTTATGGAGGTTTAACATTATGGAGCAAGCACTTTTTGCTTGTTTACCGTCGCTTAATGCTAAACAATACATCGGAAAACATTTACAGATAATATATTTATAGTTATATTATTGTTTCAATCTTTTCGTTATAAAGATTTTATTACTGATGAATATGCCTTTTATAATGATGTATTTTAATAAACGGCAGACTAAAAATAACATAATGTATTAGACAAAAATAAATAGAGGTGACAAATAAAGCTATTTTATCTTATGTAACTAAAATAATGGTTTAACAGTAGGTATTTGAATATGGGACACACGATTTTTTTCAATCAATGATAAAGTACAATTTTAAATATTTTAGGAACCATTTTTCTTTTCTATACTGGATATCAATAGATCCTTTTCAATTGTTTATTTGCTATTTCAGGCAATGAAATAACCGATATCTCTGGAGATAACTGGCGTGGCTTAGAGAACACACTGCACACGTTGATATTGTCTGACAATTCCATCTCGACTATACCACTTGACGCGTTTTCTGGTCTTCCAATGCTGGACACCCTGGACTTGAGGGGCAACCATCTATCTGTTATTGATAGTGGTGTCTTCCGTGATGGAATGCATCGATTGAATAAGGTCAGCTTTTCTAACCAGCATACATGTGACAAGACTTTTTAAATTATTATTTTACATGAGGCAAGAGGCAAATGACCAGGTGGATCACTTTGAATTAAGCGCTTATCGCCGCCCATGGACAGCTGTAGCACCATGTGGCTTTCAAGTGCGTTGCTGGCCTTAAAGGCCTCTAATTGATTACAAACGTTGTACAGTCTGAAAAATTTAAATGCTTACCTTAACATTGTTTTCTAAACAATTGCCGAGAATGAAAACCCCAAACGAAAGAGTTCACAAACATTGAAAATAGTTTCTTGTTATGACTGAGCAAAGGAGGCAATTGTCAAATGTACAGCTAGCACTAAACACCTTAATGCCCGCCATACCCTCTGGCATTAAGTGTCCATGGGCGGCGGTATCACTTAACATCAGGTAAGCCTCCTGCCCGTTTGCCCCATGTTCTATAAAAAAAGTTGATTTATACACGTTCATGAGTTGAATAATCTCAACAGATATGACCTCATAAACTATTAGCTGTTTATTAGCAATATTTACGTAACTATGATAATTTAGGATAAATAGATTGTAAACTTGGATTACATTATCACTGTTTCATATTCAAGGAACTGCGAAGTACTATTTCGTTGCTGAGCCTCATATGACTCTCAATCATCTAAAAAATCAAATCAAAAATCATCAAAAAATTACACTTATTAAATGCCTATCCCTCTTAAATTTTTTGAAGTGAAATACCGGTGTAATTTTACGCGATGCATACGTTGTCGCAGGGAACACCTTGTCTGGACCTCAGATTTCTGTATCTGTTTCATGATCATTTGTCAATTTAATAGGCAAGAAGATGATCAGCCTCCAGTAGCTGACACACGCCGTCGACTTTTTGGGTCTATGGCAAGCTGGTTTCCTTACAATTTTTTCCTTCACCGTTCGAGCGAATGTTAAATGCGCACATAGAAAGAAAGTCCATTGGTGCAGAGCCGGGGATCGAACCTACGTCCTCAAGGGATGAGAGTCGCACGCTGCAGCCACTAGGCCAACACTGCTCTGTTTTTTTACATAAGCGTACATCTCAGATCCATTAACTGATTACCATTTATTTTCAGCTCCTTCTAGGCAACAACCAACTGACTCTGATTCCGTACGAGGAACTGTCACCGCTGCGTCAGCTTCGTTACTTGGATCTTTCTAAGAATTTGATAAAGCAAGTTCCGCCCGCCCATGAGCTGAACGGCATTACTTTATCTCTTGATACTTTGAGGTAATGTTTTTTTCTTCTAGTACTTATACATTTCGAGTCGGGAGTCATTCCTTACTAGTAGCTTAATGACATAACCTCTGCTTGTATTTGATAATTTTTAGGCCAATATGTAATAAATCTAATGTGCCCAGCCAGCCCAGATATTATTTTTTAATTAACGCATTCGCGTCGGTATGGCGGGCTGTAAGTCACACCGGAAAAGTATGGCATGGCACTGCCGCCTCTTATTTTTTATGGACTATCGGAAAATACTAGAATTTTTGTGGAACAAATCGTTTGACAACCTAATTAATCCGACAAGTTCGACTAACGCCCACGCGACTCGGCCGCCGGTACCAGCGCTATGACCATAATTTTTCTTATTTTCATTGCGTAATAAGACCCCTGAAGAACCACCATACTGGTTGGTACAAATGACCCACTATTTTGTGTCACTATCTATATTATATCCACATAATCTCTGTTTTTTTTTCAGACTGGACAATAACATCATCAGAATACTTCTGCCGGGTTCGTTTAAATACTTCAACGTGTTGAATACGACATCCCTGGACGGGAATCCAATATATACTATAAGAGTAAGTTATATAAGTATACATAATAATAAATATATATATAAAAAAGTGAGTAGTGAAAAAATTTCTCGCTATAAACACAAACTCTGAGTTCGTTCATATTAACAAGTTCACAAAATAACAAACAAAATACGCTTAAAACTACAACAAAATATGCCTAAATAAAAAAATCTTCAAGTTCATAATAAGTATTATAATTTCTAGACTGTTAAATCTATATTGAACTGGTAAAATAATTGACGGTTATAAATTTATTTGTGTGATGGTAATAGGCGTGTAAAACACCATTAACTCATGGCTCAAACGCAAACTCACTCATATTTTTATTAACGATTCATATACTGCCTTGCGATTCTGTAACTCACTTTTCAAACTCGCACAGTAACAATAAACTACGAGCTTGTACCATGAGCAAGCCAAATCGTAAAATGACTGCTTCACAACTGATTTGAGCGCGACCGCCGCTGCGAAAACCGCTGTGCGAGTTCGAAAAGTGAGTTACAGAATCGCAAGGCTGAATCCCTTAGTCTCTTATAAATCCGTAATTTAGTTTTCGTAGGTATTTTAATGTGTCCTAGAAATTAATTTAAAAAGTCACTAATAAAAATCAATACCCTTTTCTATTTCTAGGAAGACGCATTCCGCAATGCTAAAATTCGTTCTCTCTCCTTACGGGACTGCGGGGTGACAGAGTTATCACCTGCATCCTTCGCTGGATTGGAAAACACACTGCAGAACTTGGACTTATCGGAAAACAACCTCACAATGATCTCAAAATTCATGCTGAACAAATTGGACTCACTGAGATTCCTTAATCTAAGGGAGAATAAGGTATGGTTATTATCGACACTTAGAATTTTTTTTTTAATTTCACTTATACTTCTTCCCTTAGACGGAAGGGACTATATTCAATGGGATACCGCAGGCTGTTTCACTTTTATTTCTTATTAATTTTAATATCCGTTGGCATAGATTCTACAGGTACATGTGTAATTGGCAAATGCATCCTTTGACAGAGCCACGTTTAGAATTAAAAATGGTTCGTCTCTATTAATCAATTGGTACCCATATAGTTCATTTATTCATGGCAACGCTAGACTCAATATAGGAATTAACTTACGTTCCGACTGTCTGCTAGAAAGAACATATAGTGTGTCTGCATTAGCGCCACTAAGCAATTACAAAACTTCTAGAAAAATCTAGAACCTCAGATATTTTATCACAATGTTGTTCAGGTGGACACCAACCTCCTATCGACCGGCAACCCCTCAGACTTCTCAGTGACATCAGTGAATAACTTTCAATACAAACTCTTCTATTTGGACATAAGTGGATCGTCGCCAATTGAAATGAGCCTGCAGGATATACGAAGGTAAGATCCATCATAGCACATATTTTAAATTATTTAAATTCGAAAGCCACACCCTTTAAAGCTGCACAGAGCTTTACCCGATTCTCTTTACATTATAACATATATCGTTATGAAAATAATAGTGCCTGCGTACAAAGTCAGAAGTGAAACTTCTTTGGCAAACTAATTTTTACGTCTTGTTCATTTTTATACAAATCTAAAACCTTAGATTACCGAGACTTAGAGGGAGGGAAAAAGGAAATATGTTAGGAATTTAATGAATTTAATTTTCATTAAAATATTAAGTGTCGAAAATTAATACAAATTAGAAATTAAACTTTTTAATTAATTTCTTCGATAATAAAAACACGTGGCATTTTAACTTACTTCCTCAATTGAAATTACAATAAATTATTTTGTATAAAATATAAAATACTAATATTTCATAAATTCTATTTATAAATATAATTTCTATAAGGTAATTCGCCTTTCTCACTCTCTCTCAATCGGTGTCAATCGCTCTCTTTCTTTTCTTCGACAAAAACACTGCACATCTTCGTGACGTTTCATCCGTAAAAAAATTACCCTCATGCGCGTAAAGAAGTTTCACTTCAATAAATGCGCAATCCCAATTCACCGGAATACAAGAGACAATCAACCTTGTTAATCTTCATAGGCTTGACTGTGTGCTAGTTAAGAAAATGTATAATTTATAAACATATTAAATATCTCTTTATACAATACTTGCAGAATGCGCTCTCTCCGATACCTAGCAGTGAGTAAGCTTATCCGTCGCAGCATCAGTTCAGAAGACTTCATCGAATATGGTTTAGAGCTGGAAGACCTTAAAATATTCGGAAGCACAATCACGAAAATTGAGGCCAGTGCTTTCCAGCACGTTAGGACGATCAAAACCCTGGACTTATCTGAAAACGAAATCGACTTTATCGACCCATTTGCTTTTGCAGAGGTAATTTAAACTTTACGAAAAACATTTCACTAATTCAATAAAAGGATTCAATTTAAATTTTGAGCTCAGATCGCAGCTGGAAAAATTCTGCTGCAAGATTGTCAAATATGTCACTAACATAAATAGCACGAGAGGTAACGCGGGTAGTGCCGGGCAGCAGGCCCTGACTCGCCCATAAATGTTATGAGAATGTTTCTGTAGTATTAGTCGCCCGGGCCCGGCGGGAGACGCCAAACCCAAGTTAATAAAGTCCCTTTTTAGGAAAGGGGACTTCGATACTCCCCTGCTGCTTAGCTTCTCGGTCACATATCTGCCTGATTGCGTGCCTGTTAGGGTTCCCTGTTTATAAAAAAGAATTAAATATGGTAGATATTGTCATTTTTATATTTAAATACAACGGGACAATTAAAATCATTAAATTATTTCTCTTTATATGTGTTCAATGAACTAATTCGTTGAAAGTTTAATCTTACCTACAGAGCTCGATATACCGATCTCAGGGTATATAGTCAATATTAAATATTTAGTACATGCAAAGTATCGGTATCACTAATATTTTTTTAACCGTATTAATTCCTTTTTTCTACCATTTTAAAATCAACTTATTATTTTTTGTTTATTCTTTCCAATTTGATTGTTACTGTATGTACCTAAATACATATTAAAGAAAGCTATATGGATTAATAACAAGTGCTCGTTCAACAGCTACACAGCCTTACAACCTTGAAAATAGCGAACGGATTAGCAGATTCCGTAAAAATTCTACCTTTTGAGCCACTTAAAGCGCTAAACGAGTTGCAGCATTTGGACTTGAGTAATAACAAACTGAAAAATGTTCCCGACACATCCTTCCATTTTCTTTACAACGTAAGGACACTGAATCTTCAAGACAACCTTATCGAACAATTTTCTAAGGGAACTTTGCAGGTACGTGTTTTTATTATTTACAATAATATTTATTAGGTTCCGAGAAGTACCTACTGGGTCCTACGTTATTATTAGGCATAAGATTATTCTTAATGAGAAATTAGAATCAGACCAACAAACAAGTGGCTTATTTCTGGAAAGCAGATTGCTCTGAAGCAGATACAACAAAAAAAAATGAGAAATTAGAGTATTCTTAATGACCCCAGCCCCATATACTTGAGGTACCGCAATTTCTGAGGCGTCGAGATTGCATATGTACAATACGCAATCTCTGTTTAAATGAATATTTAAAATTCATGTCTCACAATTTCATTATAAGTTGGGACATTAAGAGATATAACTGTTCTGAAGTTCATCAATCTACTGTGTTCTATTTTACAAGAGCAGGATTTAACCTCTGCATTTCTTGGTATTAAGTCACTTTACCCTCCCCGGCTGGCTGGACATGGCAGAATCAGAAAAAGCAATCATTTGCGGTCATCCATTCCAGTGCGCAACCACTTACGGGGCTAGTGTAATGTTCAATAACTACGACAATCATTACATCTAATACTTTTTTATTGCAGGGTGACATCCACCGACAATTACAAGGCATATACCTATCATTTAACAAAATGACGAAAATCGTTCAGCACACTTTCGTAGATCTTAGAGAACTTCAGGAGATACAAATCGAAGACAACTTAATAGATACAATTGAAAGACGAGCATTTATGAGCGTTGATAACTTGAAGGTGATCAGGCTCCAGGGTAACAGGCTTAGAGATATTAGCGAAGAAGCCTTCCAAAATCTACCTGCTTTGAAAGAGTAAGTCGATTAGAATTTTTTTTCTGAGTAAATATATTTTACGAAATAAAGTAATGTTTCATGGATGGTTTACCAATCGGTAACGAAGCTTGTACAATTCTTGTAATAATAACTATTTTCTGTTTTAAATGTTTAAAATTTAGATTTTATAGTAATATTGACTGTTATCATTGAGATTTTTTGGTCAAACGATGTTTACAAAATAAGTAAAATAAAAAACATAGCAGTTTTTTATTTTAAAATTCATTATTATTAGAAATTGGAATATAAACTTTAAAGTTTTTAGTAACCGTTAAGATGAGTTAGAATATTACCGGAATGATAAACTCAAATATCTGAAGTTTACATAAAATGTTATACGTTTTCAGGTTAGACATATCTTTCAACCGCCTAGAAATGTTTAAGTTCTCGATATTCGATCAAGTCGGTTCTGCAACTGCCCTTAAAGTGAACGCATCCTTCAACCAAATAGTGTCGCTGACTGATTCCAATGCACGATTCGGCTTCGGTTCATCCAACTTCTACCCACCTCCTAAACCGCAAAGTAAGTTATTTAACCATAATATGAGTTAGGGTTACGAAAAATTTAGTAGTGACGCACTAACTTCATAAAACTATTTGATTTAAAAAACTTTTAAATTTAATTGACTTCAAATATGTGTGGTGTGTCGTGCCTGGGGCCTGAGACAAAAAACTTTCCTTATAAACGTGACTCATAAAATATTTTTTTCTGTAATGGCATTAGCTCACACTTGTCATGCTATCACTTTGCATACAAATTCCTGCTCTCCGCAGGAACAGCTCGCGAACGCCACATGGATCTTGTCTTAGACCCTTATACTGATTTAATTTTAACATTATTAAGTGTGCTTTTTATGAGTTTATATTCTTCGTATCTATATATATTATATTGTATATTCTTCTTTGTATGTTATTTTTTCTTGGTTTTACTATTCCTTTGTTCTTTTTCATCTCGCATCCGATTCAGGCTTAATATCAGTGGATGATCAAGGTGACTTTTATTATTCCTTATCTTTATTTGTACTTTTTCTAATTAATTCATTTCTTTTCAAGCGACTAGTGGTAAGGACAGTATCGAGGTTACTGGATTTTCGATGTCATGACCGTCATCTCACTTAATAATGGCATAATATCATCAATAATCATATACATTTACATCTTCAGCATCACCATAAAGGTATCATTGATGACGTCAATCGAAAAAATCAATTTTCTCGACGACGCTTCAAATTGATATAGCAATGGTGTAGTAATAGGTTCGGACTTATTGGTTTTTTCCGGGAAAATTTCTGAACGGTTGAATTCGTTTTTTCGATCGATTGGTTCCATTTGGCATTTGATCATTTTGAAATTCTCAATCTAATTCCGCTATTAATTTTCCCAGAAAATACAGATAAGGGTAAATTACCGCACGGCCAAGCTGTAACAGCGTCGCCGTATCGTTTGTTTTGTACGTTCTAGCGCTATTTTTTTTCGATTGTGTTAAATGTTTTAAAATATAAACTTAAAGGATTCATAATTTTAGGTCTCGGAACAGTATCAGTTAATATAAGAGTATTGGACTTCTCTCACAACAATATCTCCTACATTGCTCCTTATTACTTTAGGTGAGTTGTTTTATAGTATATTTTGAGACTTATTTTATGCAACGAGAACAAATATTCAATCTTTTATTATTTATTAATTAAATAGAAATAAATAAGGACATGTTTTGCTACTTTTGTTTATTCCTCGTTGATTTCTTTCAGGCATGCTGACCTAACGTTATCTGAATTGCATCTGTCACATAACCAAATAAAAAATATTACAAGGGAAGTGTTTGGATCTATGCTAATGTTACAATACCTTGATTTGTCTCATAACCAAATATTCCATATGGAATACGATTGTTTTAAAAAAGTCAAGAATTTACAGGTAAATTCCGACAAATAATGTTCTATTTATAGAGATAGTCTGAGAAATTTTCTAAAAAGACCCTGTGATTCTTCCTTTTCTACATTTCTTATTCTTTTAAAATAGTACCGTTTGATTCTATAGTTTTTGTATTATGTACATTTTTTTATTTGAATTTTTATGATTGTTGTGTTTGATCTTTATTTCTCTTTGCTTTTATTATTTTTGCTATTGTTTATATTTTCTTGAAACGAAGTTTTATTTAATTAATTCCAGATGGACATATGTGGACTCGGGCTTGGTTTAATCATTAATGGTTATTTACGAGTAACTTGATCAAATGAAGTAACATTCATCTTCATTGGCCATTAATTTGCCAAATCACCTTTTAATTGTCTTCATGTCCATGTGCGTTGTGTTGTGTTTTGACTTGTGTTATAATAATGTATTTCTTTCAGATTTTGAATCTATCACATAACCATTTGACTGAACTTCCGGTTGAAGTATTCCACGATATGCAAATGTTGACCTCAGTTGATCTTTCCCATAATCGAATTCGGAATCTGGCTGACAATCTCATTTTGTCAGCGAATTTAGAAAGGTATTGTATTAGGGGCTTTAGCAAGTCCTAAACCTAAAATTACGAACTGATGTTGGTCTCTAAATATGCAAATTTTCTATAAAAAAATGATATATGGGTGTATGTGGATGTATTTGATAAGAATATTTTTTTAAGTAGAGAATCTTCTGATTTCTTGTGTACATACATAGTTTTCACGTTTGTGTTTAATTTTAACACGTTTAAAAATGTTACTTTAGGTTGGACTTATCAAACAATGACTTATCAAGGATGCCAACGAACGCATTATCACCAGGTGCCGCTTCAAATCTTGTGGAACTAGATCTTAGCAGCAACACGGTACCTGCTGTAGCCATTCCCGACTTGGTCCAACGATTTAGGGTAAGTATCCCAATAAAAATATGCTTTATCACAGTTTTTTGTACGGATCCTATCACAAATTCCTATTCTGGAATGTTCCAGATATAATTAAGGTGATTGGATTGACACTACTGGGTTTTTGTTTTGTAAAGAATTGGATGATGTAGATATCATACCCTTGCTTTATGTACCGACTTTCTGAAATTCAACTCACTCAACAATTTGATTTATCATTCAACGCTTTTTCTGTTTAAAAAAAAGTAACTATGTATCTTGTATACACTCTATAATCTTAATGTGGGTAGTTCACAATATTTACTACCCGCATAAATATTCTCAATTAGAAGAAAGAAAATGCGTTGAATTGTAAGAACATGAATGTGGGAAATCCAACACAACCATACATGTTATAATAGTGCAAGGCACAGATTTTGAGCACAACGTTATTTTAAGAAAAAATATTAATTCAATTACATACATAACTCTACATAAATTGCTCAATATCTGTTTCCTTTACAACAATTAGTAATAACTAACCATTGTAATTTGTAGTTGATGTTGTATCTGTGTGACCAGTGTGATATGAAGTCGATACATATTATTGTTATCTTTAATTAATTGAGTATTCATTCAAAATAAATGCTAATTAAGTATTAATTGTCTTCTGATTCACATTAGACGTTAATACCTTCATTTTGTTGTGCATTCATAAATTATTCGATTGCTATTATTTTTTCAACGACATACAAATTTTGCATCACGACTGTATCCATAAGCAATCCAGCAAAGGTGTTTATGGTAAGTGAATAAAATGTTACAGAAATAAATCTTGATATAAGTAAAGAGATATTGTTAAAATCATAAAAGCAATAATATGCATCGACACGCCAGTGGTAGCTTGCTAACGTATACCGCATGTCGCCAGAACTCCGAGGCCGGCGAGTTTTGGCCCGAGGAAAACGACTACAACGATGATTACATGTACCACACCGCTAGGCGAGACCAATCCAGAGTCTTCCACCATAAAAAGCAATATCCGCAGAACATATTCTACAAGGTAGAGGATTGGCCATTCGCTCCAAATTCTTTTAGCCCTTTGGCCCTAAACTTAACTTTCCTTGCCCTTCTTAAATTAAATTTAGACTTGGCTTATGACAGTCAAAATATTTGAAGCATCTTTTGTTCTCCGATATTGCGTTTGCTTGTTTCACAGTTTTGTTTTGTTTGTCTAGTAGATGTCTAGTTGTAGTATTCGCTTTGAACTAATTTGTATATATTTTCTTTTTAAATCTAGAATTACAAATGCAGGGTTGTAATTATTAAAATCAAATATTATTCAGATATTCTATGATATGCTTTGAGTTAATTGACCAAACAACTTTCAGTCTTTGGCATGGTTAGATCTATCCAATAATCATTTGGTAAGAATTGAGAGTGGCGCGTTCGGCGCGTTACCAAAACTTCGTTGGTTGGATCTGAGCAACAACTTGCCGTTTAACGGTGATCGGAGTGGAAACATTTTCAAAGGACTGGAGAGGAAATTGTCTTATTTGGGACTAAAGAATGTCAGCTTGCAAGTTGTAAGTAGCTGGATATTTCTTGAATATTTTTCGCTACAACAACTATATCATAAATAGTGTAGTTTCCATTTCTAGATATCTAAATATCTATATAATATAATAGATGATTTAAATTGGTACAATAAAATCCAAAAATCTTTATATCACCCACACTATACACTAAAAGGTTGCAGCGCATATTATTGGGTACCAAAAAAATTATCTTAGGAGTTTATGATTACTCGCGCAGAAGATAATGCTTTATATAATATTGTTAAAATAAAACAATGCGAAAATTCAATTAAAATGTTCTGAATTTTATAATAACTCCTTATATTTAGTTTAGTTTTCAATTTATAAAGACGTTTCCTACGATACGATAAGTATTTATATAAATTGTAATATTGAAACTAGCAATATTGTGTATTCATTTTAGATACCATCACTTCCACTTCCGAAGTTGAAAACTCTGGACCTATCGTACAACAATCTGCACTCAATCCCAACAGACACAACTGCCAATTTGACGCGTCTAAGAGCACTCGACTTATCATACAACGACCTAACTAAAGTGCCCGTGGTAAGAAAAGAATGAAATATTGACATTATACTGTATTCGATTATTCTGTTTTGAAAGAAGCGAAGAAATATATTCTCTCTCGCTTGACTCTGGATTTTATAAGAATCGTGATAAAATGTACTTAAGAGAACCTTCTAGATTTCTCTGTTACCTTGATAAGGATTTTTCGATAATTCTTGGGGTTTGGCGCTGTTTTTTTAATGTTTGTTTGTAACCAAGTAGTGAGTCAAAGAGCAAGTATTAAGGAATACTCTTCTGTTATTTGACATTTACAAGGATCAGCTTATCTAATAAAATAAAAGATTGAAAAATGTTAATTAAATTCTAACACTACTCAGATTTATACCAAGTAAAAGATCGAGATTACTATTATCTATATGTTAACGCTAAAAAGCTATAAAAATTTTTTAGGCAACGCATTCGCTAAGCGATCTTCGCTGGTTATCATTATCGGGCAACCCAATCACAGCCCTCATGAACACCAGTTTGTATGGACTATCACCACGGCTGGAATACCTTGATGTTACCAGACTTCGTCTAAGTATTTTAGAGGTACTGTGGAATATTATTAGAATGTTACCCTAGACTCGCTTTGCCTATTTTAATAAATATCGGTAAGGAAATTAAGAATAAAATAGTTTATAATTTTGGTGTTTGCCGTGTAAAGTTAGGGCTATTTGGAGTCTTTAATCATTTATACTTGTGTACATACAAATCGCATCATCTATTTTGATGAATTTGTACATAGAAAATTACATGTTGGAAAATAACTTACCAATGAAAACAACGTTAATCTTTACGTTTACAAAAAAAAACATTTTAATGTAATAATGTAATTTGCCATCCACGCCTTCTACTACGTATATTATAATATTAAAATGCCAACATTAATTCATGAAACTTAAAAATACATTTCAGTATGGCGTCTTTAGCAAAATGTATGGATTGAGAACTCTAAAGATTTCTGTGAACGGAAACGTGAGGGACTTCAGTATCCCTAAAATGACCTCACAGAACGCCGCGTTAGAGAATTTGTTCTTGTCAGTCGAAAACTCACAAATCGATTTAGGAAACGAGATGAAAGGCGAGCTGCCATGCAAACTGGATAACATTACACTAACTGGCCGAGAGTTGAAGTTCCTCTCACAGAACCTTCTTAATGTGAGTAACTTATTTAGAAAAGTATATTTGTAAGGGGCAATATACTACAATACACTTTATTTTAGACGCAATATTATTTGAACATAAAATTATAAAAAAAAATAACGCTTAGCTCACTGATATCCGCGGAGTCTCGGGTTCGATTAACAGCGACATACCACTTATTTTTTGAGACTGGTAGGCAGCTTGTGGTAAAAATTATTTATCAAATAAATAAATAAATCAGTGGCGCTACAACCTCTTTAGGTCTGGGCCTCGGATTTCTGAATCTGTTTCTTTTTTTATATAATAGGCAAGTAGGTGAGCAGCCTCCTGTGCTTGACATACGCCGTCGATTTTTTTTGTCAAATGCGCAAATAGAAAGAAAGTCCATTGATGCACATCCGGGGATCGAACCTACGACCTTAGGGATGAAATTCGCACGCTGAAGACACTAATCCAAAACTGCTCTAAAAAAATTATCTAATAAAAATCAAGGCGCATAAAATCTGTCTGCCCAAGCCCTTATGGGGTTATGGGACTCGAACCATATTTCTTCCCAATTTAAATTAAGATAAATTCTCCGTAGAAATCTGAGATATGCATGTAGATATACCTTATACTCTTCATAATCATAGACTATTCATAATCAGAATTTCTGATTTTGGCGCGTAATGTTTGTTGTATATTTGTTTTTTATTTTACTGAATGATTTCTGTAAGAAGTTTAACCCATTTTTAAAAATCTACTAATAGTATTCTATTTTTGTATGACGTTAATATTATATTTTAAAGGGCGCATGCTCCAGAGAGATGAGGCTAACAATTTTCAACACCAGCATTGAGGATATATCGTCTGAAGTATTCTGGAGGCATGGTCGTATCAAGAACTTGTCTTTGGACCTACGGAACAATCAGCTGAAGAGATTACCAAACCCAGCTCGGAAGGAGTGGCCTGGAGTTCCTAACGACCTCTTTCTCGATGACATCCTTGTGGCCAGCAATCCTCTTGTCTGTGATTGTGGAATAGGGTAGGTACTTAATAAAGTATACTCTATCGTTAACTTAAACTTTACCCAAAATTAAACTAAAAGACAAAGTTTCAATAACATTAACATGAAAGCGAAAAAATTATGTACCTCTCAGATTATGGTTTCAAGAGGTGTATAGATTAATTAATATTATATTTTGTGCAAAATAGGAGAATTTAATGTAACAACTAACATTATTTTTTACTTGTTGGGTATATAAAATTCATATTTTATGATTGCTAATAATTGTTATTAATTTTTAGCTGGATACAAGCTTGGGATCGCAAACGACGCCAGTATCTTTGTGACAATCCATCTAGTTGCGACGCATTAGACGACGTAAGACTCGCTACTTGTCCCTCCTATCAGAACAGAACATTGAGTGATGTGAGTATATAAGACTTTTGTTTCCTCAATCATATTAACCAAGACTTAAGAAGATCGTACGTCTTGCTTATAAGAATGACGCAACTGATTAAAGATACTAAATTTATACTATTATTTTTGAAGTTATACTTCTTTTGGCGCGTTAGGGAAAAATGATGAGAGTAAATTTGTACCATGCGCGCGCACACCGTCACAAAAAACCGACACCCAGAATATATTTTCAAACGTCGGTAAAACAGGGCCTCTAGTTGGCGCTCACTCTGTGTTATCGACAAGTTGCATTGTCATGGCGTAGAGTTTTTCAGAGTCGTGGTTATTTAAACCAAAATAATGATTTCTATACGAGAAAACCCGTTCCAATTTGATAAAAAACAGTGTTTATTGTAAAATATCATGATTAGTACATATTACATCGTTTCGATTGGAAGTGACCAATAAAATGGACAAGAAAAATGCGATTCGAACGTCCTTCTAAAGTGCTCGAAGAAAATTATAACGCCAAATAAGTATCTAACCTTCTAAACTTCTACTTCTTTACTTCGACATATTTTACAGTCATTCATCCTTGAACAATACAATCTTTTTGTAAAGTGTAAACTGAGCTACAAAACTTAAATTTGATTTCAGATAATTTCTAAAGAGCTGGACTGCAGCTGGAGCAAGGGGTACAGCATTGTGTCAAACATCATGACTGTTCTCGGTGTGGTCGTCGCCTTCTTTGTCATTTGAGGTTTGTTTTGGTGTTACGGACTTTATCGCGAATTGGTACAGGTTCGCAACAATATTCGCGACCTCCGTAACTACATTAGGGGTCACAACTATGATCACATTCTCATCCGGGAAAATTCGCATGACAACATACGGGATGATTCCAGTGACAGTTCTGACAGCCTCGCTCATGACATTCCCCGAGGTTACCTGACCCCCAAAGGCAAGACTGGGAAGCCCAAAACTGAGTAGATGTGCCTCCATGTGGCCTATTAGAATGTAGTGCTAAGGTGACGCTAAGTATAGAAATGTGATGTGATCTCCAAGAAACCGAACGCTATGTTTTCTTTTAGAATTATGTGCACTAATAACTAAGTATAGTTACAATAATTTCCTTATTGTATGTGACAATCTACATATTTAGTAGTTTTAATATTGAAATTATTGTATGCAACAAAATGTAGGCATACATTTTTCGACTTTTAACTTTTAAAGTTTCGATATCGAATAAATGTCTTATAAGGGTCTTAAATATTGCCAAAACATAACTTTACTATCATACTTTTTAATTTAAATACATTTGACAATTTGATACACAAGCACAAAAAATTGTTTCAATATTGCACCCCTAAATAACAACTGCCGCTCAGGACTAAGATACAAAGTGTTTGAGTATTGTTTCTCAAGATGGCGCTAATAGCAAGCGCTAGTTCACTTCGCATAACTGGGTGGCGCTAATATAAATTACCTTCTACAACAAATGAGAACACAATGTTCAATATTGTTGATGGCGTTTAAATGTAATGACGTGCAAAGATCCTTATAGGACAGTATTTGAAATTAGAATCTCATCTAACGTATACTGAATGATGGAATGCGCATACATATTAGTTGCAATTTCCTCAATTTGTAGAAAATTTACTTAATTATAATTGTAGACTGCATTCGCTAGAATGATATGTGTTCGTCCATTAATAGAGTGTTTTGATTATTTATAGATGTATTTCCTTATTAGGCTAGAGCTCATTATCATATTTAACTGTCACAAATTTATCTGACCGGATACATACGTAAAAAATCACATCACTCCAATAAGCTGCAATAGAAGTTGAAGAGAATATTTGTACTGGCAATACTGAGGCCTGAGACAATGTTAAGGTGCAGATAAATTCGGACACTTCTTTTTATGTCAATAGATGTTTAAATTGTTAGAAATAAGTGTCTTTTCAGTGTACAAATTACAAAATCGTTGGATATCAGTTTAATATTCTATGGGTATAATACTACTATGATTGTTTAAAAGTTTTCAAAGTCTAATATAAAGTAGAAATATATCATTCTATGACATGTTCTATACTATTTGTAGCTTAGATATTCATTTCATTGACCATTATTTGTTTCTATATAATTTATAACTCTTTTGTTGTTTCTTATAACTGTCTTATTCTTTTTTTCAGATTACCTATCAGTTTAGAAGCAACTTATTTTTTTTTGCAAGCTTGTCTTTGTAGATAGTTCCTTAAGCTAAATTAGGGAAATGAGTGAATTAAGATTACCTCTCTTTCAGTGGTCCATGAATTCAGGCCTATCGAAGCTTTTTTTCAATGCCGTATTTTGAGGATTACGTTTGCCTTTCTTTATATTTCTACATTAAGTACATTAAGTATACGTCTTATTATAATTAAAACTAAAAGCACTTTTTTGTGTGTTCATTTCAATTGTGTTCTACTAGATTTAAGTTTATTTCTCAAGGCATTGAAAACAAAGTTAAATCGTAACAATGAATATATTTTGTGATATATATTAACTGTAATCCTTCTATTTTTGATAAGCCTACGATACTATTGCTAACATGGGAATTGTATGACTAACAAATTCTCTGTTAAATGCTTTTTATTTATTCCAAATGAAATTTTTATTGTTACTCTTCAAAGTTAAATTTTATGAATTAACGCATCGTACCAAATACTTGTGATGTATTTGCATAGTGTTATTATTATATTTAAAGTGTTCATATTGTTTAGATTGAAGTTTATTTACATCAAAATCATTCAAAAATACAACTAAATTGTCTGTAATGATTTAAAACTTTATCGTTGCTTAAACTAAATAGGATAACAACTTCTGAATGTGATAGAACTTAGCTAGTGCCAATAAAATTATTAATATCAACATAAATCATTACAATTTTCCTTCATAAATTATATGATATTATTAAATTATACTAACGAATAATAAGTGTATTTTTAGAATTTGATTTAAAAAAATTTAAAATATGAGGTTAAATATTATTAAATATCGTTTTAAAATGGGATAATGTTATAATATTTGAAATTTAGTATGAATAATTGTTACAAGTGACGTTGCATTAAACCATTAAACAAAATATGTTTTAAAAAATAAAAGCAACGTCAAAAACTATTCAAAAAAATACCATTTTAAGTTTACCGAATTTGTTTATTGTATTAACGGAAAATACAAATAACCCACCGCAAATATTCGTTAGTACAATTTTAAAATTTAAATATTACTCTTAAATATAACGATTGTTGTACATAAAGAATGTAAGCTATGGTAAAGAAATGGGAAGTGTTTTTATAATTAGGTATTTCTTAAATGTATTCACTATTTAAAACAAATCTCTAAAATAGTGTGAAATAAAATAATCTATGATCATTAGTGTATCAATAAATTATTCCGTTAAAAATTAAACACTGTTTTCTTTTATCCTTAATAGATTTATTTATTAATTAAGTAATACACAGGTTTTTACTTGTAGTAAAGAAGTGTGTCAGTCAGTCTCACGAATTTCGATTTAAGTAGACACATTTCTGACAGTCTGTTCTTTCTTTCTGAAAGCGAGTTCATTTGTCTTCTGTGCCCAATCCGGAACTTTTATTAGTTCACTGACAATTGAATCCCGCAGTCATTATCTTCTAAGTCTGGAGATGGTAGCTATACTTTTATAGCGGCCAATGAAAATAAATGTTTTATCCTGCTGAAGCCCTTGTCAAAGCCATCTCAGAGTCATGCGACGAGGGAATTGTTGAACTTTCAACATAAAGTAACACCCACCAGATGAAAGAATTGATTAGATAATTCAATTATAATCTGTGCTTGGAGAAACGAACCTAAGGCACCACGATTACTTTGATTATATTTATGGGACTGTATAAACATTGATAATTTTAATCATACAGAACTCTAGTAGCCTTTTCTTTTTAAAACTACTGCTTTTACCAGTTCATTAAATTCTTTGAGGTAGCCTTACCATAATTATGTGTATGAAATCTTACTATTTGTATATACGAGGTAAAAAGTAGGGCGTTGATATAACTACAGATTGAGCAGTGTTGACTGTTGGCCTAGTGGGACTCTCATCCCTGAGTTCGTAGGTTCGATCCCCGGCTGTGCACTTATGGTCTATCTTTATATGTGCGCATTTAACATTCGCTCGAACGGTGAAAGAAAACATCGTAAGAAAACCGACATGTCTTAGACCCAAAAAGTCGACGGCGTGTGTCAGGCACTGCAGGCTGATCACCTACTTGCCTATTAGATTGAAAAATGACCATTAAAGATATTCAGAAATCTGACGGCCAGACCTAAAGAGGTTATAGCGCCACTGATTTAATTATAACTACGGATGCCGTGTAGGGGTGAGCAAAGACTAAAAAAACCGAAAGAGAAGATGACTCAATTCAATTCGGTTTTTTTAACCTAGATAATCAGTCCTCTGCACCTATGAACCTGAAACAATGATCACTTCACCGGGAATCAAACAAAAACCTTCTGGTTGATGGTCAGGAGGATGCCTTTTCAAATTTTGATTGTTTGTATGATTTAGAAATCTCTTGTTTATTCGATTCGATTAAATTCGACACGAGAGCTACAGGCTTAGGGTTATGTATAATATATATATTCACGTACATATTATGTTATTACATTATGTGAAAAATGCATTAAAACAAATTAAAGTAATCAAATCAAAGAAACTTTTTTATTGGTAATAATAATGATTTCTAAAATAATCCGAGCTTTATCATGTCATAAAACTAGTAATGTAACATACAAACAAGCAATTCACCACACCTTAACAGGCTAACTTTAATAAACATATACCATAATAACTATTATAATAGTTGTGATCCGTGAATCCGTGTGTAGTAATTGTGTATACACATAACATAGGTATAAATTGTAGTATATGGTATAAATCCATTTGTCATTTTCTCAACAGTAGTAGTCCAAACCAGAGCAGTGTTGGCCTAGTGGCTTCAGCGTGCGACTCTCATCCCTAAGGGTTCGAGTGGACGGCGCGTGTTGGGCACAGAGGCTGATCACCTACTTGCCTATTGGAACAACAAGTCAGAGCACATGGCCAAATTTGGCGAGAAATTGGCCCACCTCCGTCCGGAGACTCGAACCTTCGGGTCTCTAGCTAAAGCTGTCCAAGGGAATTTCTGTCAACCGTCCATTCCACCACTGCACAGGGAGAATGACGCACTGGCCCATACCGCAGGAGAAGACCGATCTTCTAGGCTGCTTCTCTTTGCGTCAACTTTACGCGTTTTCCGCAAAAAAATACGCTTTGTCTCGGCTCCTCTCTTCGAAGACACTTTCCTTGAAGCCTCAGCAGCGATGCTAGCATCGGAATACTGGGCGTTGACATATCGATTGACGTTCATTTTCGCGGTCATTTGAAAGGAAAGGCTAAGTTAGCTTCTAAGAAGCTTGGTGTTCTTAGCAAAGCGAACGATACTTCACTCCGGGTCACCGCTAGCGACTTTATAAAGTGCAAATTCGACCCCACATTGAGTACTGTTATCACCTCTGGGTGGGAGCATTCAACGAAGACTGTTTCGAATCGTCGACAACCAGTCACTTTCCGATCGGCTTAATCCATTGGCGTTGCGTAGAGATGTGGGGTCCCTTTACATCTGCATCTACCGCATTTACCATGGAGAGTGTTGAGAGGAGTTGTACGGACTAATACCTGCAGCTGAGTTTCATCATCGGACATCAAGGCAGAACACAAAGTACCATCCGTATCACCTTGACGTCCGTCGTTCCAGGCCGAGCGCTTCTTAAGGCAGTCTTTTCCGCGCACCACCACTATGTGGAACCAGCTGCCCACTGAAAAATTTCCGAAACGATTCGATTTAGGATCCTTCAATAAAAGAGAGGACCAATTCTTAAAAGGTTGGCAACGCATTTGCGAGCATTCTGGCAATGTAAGTGTCTATGGGTGGCGAAATAACTTACCATCAGGTGAACCTCCTGACCATTTGCCTTCTATTACATAAAAGAAAAAAAAACAAATCACGAAATAGATACGAAAATCTGAGTCCAAGACCTTAAAAGGTTGTAGCGCCTAAAGTTTTTTTTGGTAGACAAAACTTTGATCCCCTTGGTCTTACCGCAACGCTAGAGCGTTATTAAGGCCAAAATCTTTGAGAAAACCCTCAACCAAATAAAAAAGCTATCTAAGACACCCTAAAGCCAGACTATAATCATTGACCAAAAGATCACACAAATGAATGGTTATTTCCGAATAGACGAAATATAATTAAGGAGAGTGGAACTAAATGAGTTCGGGCGCCTACAGTTAACACAAATTACATGCCGTGGCCTCGACCTACGGATTCTCTATACAGATAACGCCCTGTATTTTTGTATCCATGAATGTGAGGTGCAACATAAACGTTAGTATGTTGTCTTTGTAAAATATGAATAATTTATATGCGTCCAAATTCGACTAAGATATACCTCTTTCGTAATTTTAGGGTAATGGGTCTTAGACAAATTAAAGCATATTCACACTCTCGCGCGCATAGGTGTGCATCATAGGATTTACATAAATACTGAATAAAGTAAATCCTGACATTCCTAAATATCTTCATACTTATTGTATCTAAGAATTCGCACTTAAAAAATATGTCTTTGTTTAGCCTGTATTTCAAATTATCCAGAACAATATTCAATGTCCAATTATGAGGGCTGCGGGGAGTCTCATTCAATTATGCGAGGCGAGACAAACGACACAACTGGGTGTAACACGCTTACTGCAAAATGCTGCGCTATTATTTCTATAGATGGATAAATTCATTCATTCATATAAGGTTATATTAAATAACATATATTACTGATTATAATATACAAGATTTTTGTTTTTTAAACGTTTTAGTATAAAAACACGTCACTTGTCAGTGCATATTTAGCATTACTCAAGTTAATGTATCACCCTTGTGTATACAATCCTCACTTTTCTATATATGGTGACCATATCCCAGCGGTACAGAGAAGTAAAAAACATTAAAAAATACACGGTATATTTTACAATACTATCTTTAATCTAAATGTTAACTTTTACACACTTAAAATTACTTTCCTTTTGGGAGTTACATACAGTAAGAACGCAACAGATGACGATCCACCCTCGTAGTACAACGTACACTCCACCGCCAACGATATCCCAAATGTAAAATCTCTTATCTGTACCGCCACTAATGGTGTGTCATCTGTCATATTAATTGGATACAATCCTGGATCAAAACCTGGCGGATCCGGATAATACGTAATCCTTCCAATATGCTCTTTATCATACGAATGAAAACCATGACAATGTAGCCATAGCTTTTGGTCTGTCTTCATCCAATTCTTAACATCCTGAGGAATATCATTGGTATCATTACTCAATGGTTTTGCGGACCACCCTATTTGCTTGTTTATACGTATTATTATACAAGGCTCATTCCAATAACCAAATGGAGAAGACCCACAAGGTCCCAGATCACTCGATCTCTTTCTTCGTTTAAAGAATGAATCCAATTCATCAACGTATTGCTTATCATCATCAGTGTAAGCCTTATATGATATAATCGGTAGAGTATTAACAGATGTTGGCGTTGCTGATAGTCCTATTCCTTGTTTTGAATATGTCATGAGTTCGATTTTGTCGACGCTCTCATATTTGTCCAAAAACTTTATCAAACATAGAGAGCCATAGAGAAATAACAAGGTGTATGTGCAAAGAAATGTTAAATAAAGGATGGAATAGGCGATAATGGAAATCCAACTCGTACACGATCTTCCGCAATATAAGTTTTTCTCTTTATCGTAAATATATCGACAGAATCTCTTCCTGCATGGCTCGCTCAGTTCTTCTGTTGATGCAATATCTCGAAAATCCTTTGATGTAGTCGGTGGTGGAAACGGAATTGATGGATCCCTAGTCTTCCTCTTAAACATAATTGAATAAAAAATATTTTAGGTGAATATAATAATAAGCTTGCGTCGTCTTCAGGTGTCAATAATTCAGAGCGTTTAACTGTCATTTTTACTTTTTATCAAGAAGGTCATGATTCGTCGTTCCTTCGCTCATCTCGTGATTATTACTCTAATATAAAATTTTATGCTTCCTTGAACCAACCTTATATGGTTAGTTTTCATCTGCACTTTCAGATTAAACGTCTATATCTAATATATAAAATTCTCATTTCACACAGTTCGTTCCCATACTCTTCCGAAACGGCTCGACCGATTCTTATAAAATTTTTTATGCAGATTCAGTTAGTCTGAGAATCGGCTACTATCTATCTTTCAAATCCCTAAGTGATAAGGGGTGTCCACCCCAAAAAATATTTTAAATTTTTTAGAAAAAAAAAATTGTTTTTATTTTTTTATGATACAGCATGCGAAAATACATACCTTTAACTTTCACCCCTATACGATTAACCCCAATTTTTTATTTTGTAGATAATTTCTATTGGACTAAAAAATGTTTCCTAGAAATAATATACATGGCAAAACAATGTTTGCCGGGTAAGCTAGTAAATATCTAATATTATAAATTATCCCTATCCCTATCCATTCATATCAAGAATATAAAAAGTAAAACTATATACATTACGATAGCAGTGGCGCCTAAGACTAAGGAAGGCCTGTGTGAGCCTTTCCTCTAAGTAATTGCAGGCATGTCCTATTTAGCACAAGATCAAATAAGGGAGCGGGTCTTAGCTTGATCAATGACTCTATTTGCCTACCTCCCATACTATAGGTCACGTGTACGTACACTCTGAAGCAGGTGTTTATATTATAAGCATTAAAATTACCTTATGCGATAATTTTGTTCTTACTAAGATAGTTGTGAAATTATAATATGGTCGTGCTGCAACAATTTTTAAAGTGAAACTTCTTTACGCGCATGAAGGCAAAATTTTTACGGATGAAACGCAATAATAATGATATTAGCGTCACGAAGATTTGCAGCGTTTTTGTCGAAGAAAAGGAAGAGAACGATTGAGACCGATTGAGAGAGAGTGAGAAGGGCGAATTACCTTATAGGATTTATAATTATAAATTAAAATTTCGTAAAGAGAATAATAAAATATTAGTATTTTATATTTTATGCAAAATAATTTATTGAAATCTCAAATGACGAATTGTAAATTAAAATGGCACGTGTTTTTATTATCGAAGAAATAAATTACTAAAATTAAATTTATAATTTGTATAAATTTTCGATACTTAAATTCATTAAATTCCTAACTTATCTTCCTTTTTCCCTCCCTCTGTCTCGGAAATCTAATGTTTTAGATTAGTATGCATAATGATCAAGACTTAAAAATTATAATATTATTAGTTTGCCAAAGAAGTTTCACTTGCCACATGTGTACTTTGTACGCACGCACTTTTTTTTTAAATTTGTACTTTTTATTAGAAGCATTAATATACGATTAATATGTATTTCTTTACTGACAAGTCATAAGTGTACAATGTGTCACCTATATATTATGATTATATGATTTTTGAATTTGAATTTGAATTTATCGGTACAGAGAGTTAAAATATCTTTTGTAGTATTCTACGGAGAAATAGCACAAACTTCGTAGGTATCTGGCAATATTTAAAAAACTAAAGAAAAATCAAGTCCCTTGGGAATTGTGAGAGCTATGCTCATAACGCCAGAGGCACTAGTTCTTTTTAGTGAGGTTCCTTTGATTGTCCCCTGGAGACAAATTCCGACACTATTGGGCAAAGGGGACATCTTTAAAAATTGCTATTCTAAGGCGGATTTCGCTAGCCTTTGACCACAGCTTTGATCAGAGGTTGCTTTCTCAATATCAATGCTACAAACAAAAAATAATCCTGTTATAACGTGACCCTTTTAGTTTTTGCATACATTTCTAAGTAACAAAGTAATACTTCTTTATATTAACCATCATCTCCCAACTAATTTTATGAGATTTTATTTTTATTAGAATTAAATAGCAACACGCTGCTAAGTATATGCGACATGCGACAAATAGTAAAAAGATAATCGTGTTTGAGTTAAAAATCACAAGATTACCGAGTCAAACCGACTGGCTTTATTTACCAAACTAACTTCCATTTACACATTTAGTCTTAATACTAGTCATAGTTAACTATCATTAACCTTGATGCTTCGAATGCTTTACAATAGTCGTGGTCTGGTGCGGCTAAAAAGACGTTTTAATTAAATGTGTACCACGTTAACCAAAGATATAATATTATAACGCACTTGCTAGACAATATTTAAAAAACCAGTGGCGCTTAGATTTCTCTATCTCTCTTTTGATCTTTTTATTTGAGGCAAGTAGGTCAGCCTTCTGTGCCTGACATACGCAGTTGACTTTGGTGGAACTAAGGTATGCCGGATATCTCACAATATTTACCTTCGTTCGCGCAAGTGTTAATTTAGCACGTTTATGAAATGTCTATAAGTGCGTAGCCGGGATTCGAACCTGCGATCTCAGGAATGAGAGTCGCTCAAGACTACACAGCTATAGACAAGATTATTAAGAGCTTAATACAAATATGTTGAATCCAAATAATAAATATTCATTTCCCGTTTTCGATTTCTTTGTGACGCCGAAACGTTTAGAAAATCGTTTCATGCGAACTCTTTTGAAATGAATCTGCAAATAAAATTTCGATATTAAACCTCGAGGCATTTCAATAATCCATTTCTCGAAATCAGTTTTATATTTGAGAAATAATTTCATAATTATAAGACCGAATAGTTAAAAGCTGCGAACCATAAAAAAATTATGAAAACCTATTGTAAAATGGAATACATATTAATATTGAAAGTTTTTGAATATTCATTAAATCTTTATGAAATAATATTATTTTACGTGGTAGCTTTCTATCAATTAGAAATATCTGTTCTTTTTATGCAAAATTCAATTCGTAAAAGTTTGTTTGCTATGTAGTATCATGTTAATGTATAAATAATATTGTAAATTCCCGAACTTGCCAAAAAATAAAAAAAAACCTCCGTTGATAAGCTTAACTTTAACAAAATTAATACAATAAAAAAATCCATTGTGCAGTCTTTATACCATAACTCTTATAGCCTCCAATAAAAAAAATAATAGAGTAATCGCAACGGCGAGGTTTCTACACTACTACAGGGCTATAAATCGACACCTGACTATCTGCATTTTAACATATTAAGTACTTTACAAATGTTAAAATATATTTAGTGAGCGATTCGCCTTATTACCAAGCATTCCCCTAACTTCGCTCAGCTGAAACTGTAATTCAGTACGCATTTAAACGCGAAATAGGGTACACGTCCTTTCAGTTACTCATAACTTTTAGTATAATTGTTACGTTAAACTATGTGTTGTGTTTAATAAATAATATCAGTGGTTTCAAAAGGGAGTGAAGTGATGTTATACTAATCTTTAAATGCCCGGTAAGGAGATTGCCTATTAGACCATGATTTCCTATTCGATATTTTTTTAGAATAGTATTAAGTACTTAAAAACCAACTGAGCCTAAATGTACAGAAGGACAGAAGAAATACAACTCGACCACGACACAACCGATTAAGTGCCACAACGGACCTAATTGTTGAAAAAAACTGTATTTTTTTCTTATTAGTGTGATTTATATATTATTGCTGACTCACTTTCTAATTTATAATATTCTATTTCTTTTAGGTTTTCATAAGCTTGCAAAGTTCTCTCCCAAAAGAATATTTAATTAATTGTTCAGAACTTTAAGCTTTTGGTAAATTAAATTCAAAGCCTACAACGAAATAGTTCCTTCTAGTCTCCTATAGAAAACATTTTTTTTCGACTGCCTTATTCATGCCGAACCTAAACTACAGGTTGTAGTTTTGCAGCCAATCTTTTCTGTTATTAAAATTTCGTGAAATTTGGAAATACTGTGAAATTAAAAGGCATGAACCCTGCCACAATAGAGATATATAGGCAGTTTTATAAATAAATACATAAATACACCGTGAGTCTTGTATTATTTTATCACATCTCTTTCTTAACAAAACGTTATATATGAATCGTTTAATACTTTTTTTCCTAACCGTAAATACTCGCCTTATTCGGGAATAAAGCCGTAGACAAAAGCTTATTTTATTGTAATGTAAGTATAATGATAAAATTTATATATAAATTATAAAGAATTACAAGGCAAAATATCAAAACGGCTACATCGCCGTATTTTTAATATTCCAAACAGTAATTTTAGTAATTACATGTTGATGCGGCTATCTAAATTTAACCACGAGTTTTCGCCACATTTTATTGCTATAACGATACATTTATGCCTTTTTTATAGTCATGTGAAAGCATATTAATGATCTTGGGACTGGCTTCATATATTTTAACGCCGCGCATTTCCCCGTGTCCCATTAGCCCAGTACCTGGCTTTAGGATTTATAAGGCTGAGATGCTTGAAAGCTTTCATGGACTTATTTATCTACATCATCTTATTCATTCCCAAGGCTTATACAAAACCAGCACGTTTAAAGCCCAAAAATATAGAAGGCCTGTGACAATTTTTTGAAATGTCCAGCCGGAATACTGTTTCAGTAAGCTGATTGTGTATTGTGTGCTTGACCAACTGACGCACCAGGTCCATATATGAGCGTGTATCAGAAAGCTGATCTCCTATTTACCCATAATAGTCAAAGAAACACTTTTAATCGAATAATATTTTTTTATCAGAGCATTGTTTATTTGATATTAAAAAGTACTGTCTACTTAAATTTCATAATCAACTACCGGAAAATCGATCCTATTTCAGTGAATAACCCGCTTGAACAACTGGTATTCTATATTTTTTGGTGTTTCAGTATGGCATACACCAAACAATGGCACCTCGTAAAAGCCGCATAAAATATTAATGAACAAGGCATTTTCTGCCCCCGACGCCTCTTTGTGATAAACTTTGCCCAATGAGCTGAGCAATTTCTGCTTAACGAACCAAATGGGCATCATCGGGCCTCTTCATTAAATCTATACTAAATACGTGATAGTTCCTATTAACGACAAGCAGATTTTATTATTTACCATGATTTGTAAAGTACACAAATACCTTCTTATACTTGAAAATACACTAAATTGTAAAAAGATTTAATTTGAATTTAGTAAGTATAGTTACATAATCGTTTGGATATTAGTGTCGCCAGTCTTTTTTTTTTATTTCAAAGATTATTACACGTGGTAATAATGAACTCAGCTGAGTTCGTTTGTTGTTATTAATAAATAATTTGTAAAAAAAAATATAATAATCTAATTACTAATCAAATATTGAAAGTTTGTTTAAAAATGGGTTTGGTATTTTTTTGTTTGAACCACTGAATTCATTATGCTATTTGTTTTTGGTTTTGACTTGATTAAGTCACAAATAAATTCTTGTCGATGCAATAAGAGCAGTCGTTTCAGCTTTAAGTAGGTAATAAGACGTGTTAGGTGTTTATAACTAAATCAGGAGAGAATTATGATCAACTACACCTTTACCTTACCTACCTTTACCTAATGGGGCATGGGGTAGACAGTTTTTCCCCTAATTTCATAAATTATTTTACATAACTAATTTTTTAAGCAACTGTGTCAACAATTCTTTAACCGGGAATCAAACCATGACCTAGATAAGGCGGCGGTGACACGTATTACAAAGTATAATAGCAAATAAGGTCTTAAGATTTGACAAAAAAATATAATGTATAACTAGTTAGCAGTAATTTCGTTCATTTGTTATTATTTAATATTAGGTGAAAAAGCCTCCAAACTTTATCGCAAACGTGTGATAACGGTAAGCTTTAATTGATATTCTATTCGTGTGGAGCTTCTGAACCCTAATTTATCTAAAAGATAATAAATTCATATTCAACGCGTCTGACGTTCAATGTACCGAAAAACTTAAATGTGTGTCTATAAGTTTCGTCGTCACTATCGTTAAGTAGATATAAGTTTCACATTATAAATTTTGAAATATAAAAAAACGTTTAAATCTTTTTTCTATGAAAACCCCCAGATCAAGAGTTTTAGACACGTTTAAGTTAAAGTAGCCAAGGTTTTAAAGTTGTTTCAAGATTTTTTTAATTCTACAAATAATATAAAATAGCATTAACTTACAAATATTATTGAAAGCTTCAAATAAATCGTTCTTATACAATTAATACCTGGCTGATGTATTTACATATCGTTATCCATTTGTTTGAATTTCGTCCGCTGATACCTTACATATGGAAAATGTTAATGGGCTGGTATAAATTTAATTTTCGTGGTATTGAGAAAATATTTACGACTTAGTCATATTATATACCGAGTTTTAACTCCATCTTGTGCCAAGTACAGGAAATTTATTAAAAGCATGAAATTATAATTGAAATAATTGGATTTTGGCATATATAGTTCACTTCAGATGTCGGCACTGATATTTGCCTTAAAATACAGGTCTAAATTCTGCATTTTTTGGATTTACTTATGTTGTCATTGTTTTCGTATTTTACACCTTATACAGCTGTATGGCGTAAAAAGAATGTCTTTTACTCACGAAATAGATTAGACAATTGAGTTGACAATATATTCTTGTTAAAAGAAAGTGTGATGGTTACAGTATCGTATTACATCGGCCATAACATTTCGAACAAATTTATCGTTATTTTTACCCCTTTTATCTCCTTCACGTTCAACTAAGCTTAAGCGGGGGTCGGTGACCACTAACAACAGTGAGATACGAGATTTATCGAATTAAATATATTCGAAGCTTACATTTTCTATTAAAAGATAAAATTCTCTCACATAAGGCAGACAATTCTTTGCGTCTAATATATTGAGTAAGGCAAATAGGTGAGTCATCTGTTTTTAACAAGAAACAGCGCCCTTACCTTGTAGCTTCCGATAGCGACAGCGATACCGAACCCAACGTTTTGTATCCATTCGGTATCGGTACTGGAAATTACAGATTACAGTTACTATTATTATCTTTTCGCCGGGAATTTGACTCTGGATCTCCTGGCACTGTAGGGGCCATTCAAGTATTACGTAAGCACTATAGGGGTGAGGGGGGTCTTCGATGTTTTATTTGGTGATTACGTCTTCAGTAATTATTTACTTCTTTATATATATTACTCGCACATTATCTATGCTTGAAAACGAAATGCATTTTCGAGGATTCCTACAAAAAAATAATACGTTTATGTACTATTATTTTTGAGAGCTTTGCTTTACTTTTGCTTACAAGAGGAATGAGGGGGGGATACTTAAATACTTGAATGCTTACGTAATGATTCTTATTATTATTAATACTTGAACGGCCTTATATGCATAATCACCAAATGCTTGTAGTACCTGTATTTAGATGTGCATTACAAAACGAAGCTTGTTTATAATTTATAATCTTACGACATAATAACAATTCACGCAATACGTAATACATAATGAAACAAGCAAACATACCATCATATAGCCAAATAATACTGGCTGGCTAACTATAAAAGAAAAATTATAAAAAAACATCTAGGCAAACCCATAACTGTGTAATGGATGAATAATTTAAGGTTCTCTAAGCGTGATACTACACATTATAAGATGTCTTTTCCTCCACAGTATTAAGCACAAGGATGTGGTCGCGTAAGCAGTCAGTGTGCAGTGCAGTGAGTGGAGTCTCCAGAACTGATGAGCATGACGGCATTGGAGATTTACATTTGTACCCATTTGCGTTTGCCCTCCGAGTACGGGTTTTACAGGTTCGTTATAGATAATCTTAGGAGAACATTAGCGCTACAAGCTTTGGTCATGGCTTAATATGTTTTTTTTTTTTAAATAGGTGATCAGTAGCATACAGCCGTTATTCAAACACACGAACTCACTAAGAGTACAAAAACAGGACAAAATTCGTGCCTTGATTTTTATTATGTCATCAACCTTTGACATTTCATAATGACAAATATCAGGTGTTCTTTAAAACGTGGCGGGGCATAAAACTTTCAGACAGTATTCACCGCAGCCTTTCGCAATATTTTCAGTACAATAAAACATTTCACGAAAAGCCCTTGTCATTATGAGTCTACAAAATGTAATTCGTTACATTTTGTAGACTCATTATAGAAAGAAAATTAAATTATTAACAATAGATACAATTACGGTATTATACATAAACTAACCGTCAACTAGTTATAAAATACCATTATATTTTGTTGTTTAAAATATTTTTGTGTAGGCCAGGGAATAATAAAACGGTACCAAAATCGGTTATACCCGACCTCGATAATCGTGTATTTTTTATAATTTGAATTGAAATGACAATAATACGTCTTCAATTATATTTGAACGCCGGCCAAATCTTATACTCATTTATTGATATTTCATTTCCATACAGCTTTATGTTCATAGAAAAATACAATTACACAAGCCGAGTATTGATTTAAAGCTTTATATATTATTTATATTTTTAAATGTATCCTCGTAATTCAAGTCTAATATTAGCAAATATATTGGCCATATATATTCTAGGTGTAGGTCTCCAATTAAAGACATACTCATCATTCAGATTTTTAGTTAAAGTTTTGCTGTTAGGAGGTTGGAAGGATGAAAAAATGCATTTGTTTTGTTAATAGTTACTTAAAATCTTTTACTATGATCTTTGAAGTACTATGAAGAAAATAAATCTAATGTTTAAAATCTTAGTGTCTATATTATTTGTGCTTGATATCTGTAATAGAATCAGACAAAAGACCCGTTGTGTTTATATATTATTAAAGAAGAAATATTTGCAGATAGTGTGTGGTATAGGAGGCTTAGTGGTTGGTGCTGTGGGTTGGTTAGAAGAAAGACAAAAACCTGTGCTTGGACTGGGAGTACCCGCGGGAGCAGTCACCGTGTTAGCTGCCGGTAATAATGAATATTGCTACCGTTATTAACGACTTGTTAAGAAAGTATCGTAATTACCACATCAATGTTCAATTAGAGAAGCGTTTTAAAATGAGTATATTAATAATCCAGTAGCGCTGCGCTACCCATTACAGTATACATCTGTGCACCTCTTTCGATCTTAATATTTTTTTCTGAGCCAGTGCGTAATCCGTCTTTTTTTTGCCTAACGTCCTCATAATATTTTTCTAACACGACACTATTAAATAAACACATAGAAAGACTCATTGGCGCACATTCGGGGTTCGAAATGTTACCTCAGGGTAAAGAATCACATCACTTAAGCAATAGATTAAAACTGCAATCTTAACATTTAAATTTGGTGCTACAACCTTTTTAGGTCTAGGCCTCAGATTTCAGAATATTTTTCATGATCATTTTCCAATCTAATAGGCAAGTAGGTAGCGTCCTGTGCCTGACACACGCCGTCGACTTTTTTCGTCTACGGCAAGCCGGTTTCCTCACGATGTTTTTATCGTTCGAGCGAATATTAAATGCGCTCATAGAAAGAAAGTGCACAGCCGGGAATCGAACCTACGACCTCGGGGGTGAGAATGGCACGCTGAAGCCCCTAGACCAACACTGCCGTAATCTATACGACTGTCAATCTTTTAATTTTCACATATTGCGTCTGATTTAGAAAATTTTAACTCAGAACTCAATGATAGTTAACATTATTTTCGGACTCCAGCGGATATAATATTAATTCTAAGTCAGCATAAATTGCTCTTCCGGTCATATCATCACTTTATTATTTAGATTTGATTGCGTGGATTGAATCTATCTACGTGTTAGTAACAGAGATATATCGAAAATGGAAGTAGTAACTCAGAACTTTTTTTTTGTCTGTTTTAAATATAATTTTTAAGGAGTAAAAACTTATAAATAAAAATAAGTCAACGATTTTAGTTAAAGTACAAGTCATCTAGGTCCAATCATAAAATATGATGAAATACATTTCAAAGTTCTGCCTTGATGGTGATTACCGCCACCGTGGTGTATGCGCCACCACATGTGTATTCGATTCTCGGTAATAATAACAGTTGTTGTATTAATCGTATGTCATTTAAATACGAAAAAATTAAGTAAACTAAAAAAATGTACAAAAATGGTAAAATTTGAGAGTTTATTTTTTCCAACAGCATTATCCGTATACTACAGCCGAGGATTCGGTGGGTGGGTCTCTGCTAGATCCAGAACTTCCAGATCTTGGGGTCCTCCTTGGAGGGTTCTGGGACCATCAGCGTGCGCTGCGGTGCCCCTCACATTACTATGGACAGCCGCTATTGGGGCACACGTGGCTATGCTCGTGTTTTGTATAAGAACACTTATGAATATTGGGTAAGAAGTTCACGACTAGTTCAATTTGTTATTGATCTCTTCAAACTCGTGTACATTTTAGTTGTATATTTATATACAAAAAAATCATTATATGTATTTAATGTTGTATATTATAAATCAAATATTTTATTTATTATTAATATTATAAAGATTTGTTACTCTAAAGCGATATAGTCGACTAACGTAATGGCGACTATGAAATAGCGCATGAACTAGATCCGTTGATGCCAAAGCCTTTTTTAAATAAATTGAATATAAAGGTGAATGCAAAGGGTATTCTTGGAAAGGGGGATCTGGTAGTTTTATAGACTGGAGAAATCCTACGTGCAGAAAACCCCTTGATGATAGTGATGTGTTCTACTTGAGAGAGATTGAGCTTTACTTATCTGTTTTACGGTTGGCGGTCCTTCAAAGCTAGTTGAATACAAAAAGTTTCATTTTCCAATATTTACTCAGCCCTGCCCTGCGATTCTGTAACTCCTAACCTTTTCAGAATGCCAAATCATAAAATGACTGCTTCACGACTGATTTGAGAGAGACCGCCGATGCGAAAACCGCTGTGTGAGTTCGAAAAGTGAGTTACAGAATCGCAGGGTAGGAAATGAAACGCGCTTTCGTATTTCCCAGAATATCTGACTGCTAGTATTTTTCAAAACCTTCTATTCAGTTCAACATCCTTACAAAATAACATGTTCAATTTCTAGCTAAACCAAACAAGGATATTTTATTTTGATAAAGTTTTAACAATACCAATATTATATATTGGTTTTATTATTCAGAACCGTTAGATAAAACTTACATAAAAGTAATTATGACAATAAAATATATAACACACTTTATTATTATACACTTTTTTACAATTATTCGTTCTTGTGTCATAATAGGATCTAATTCAAAATGTTATAAAATTTGTAATCAATGTCAATGGGTAAATAAACGTTTTGGATACGAATAAGGATTAAATTATATATTGGATTTGTATTACATAAAATAACAAGGATATAATTATAATAAAAAAACTTATTTTTCTTATAATAAAGCCTTTCAGACCCTAAAGGTCAAATTCAGTCTGTTATAGAAACCAGCTACAAAGTCAAGATTATTTTAATGCTTGTAGTATAAAACATCCCATTGTATGCAAGCGTAAGTCGTATTACGGTTAACGAAATTAACATTTATTAAATGTGCTCAGTTTATTACGTTTCGTTTTAGTATTAAAAAGCACTTTAGTTTGCTTTTGAGCACACTAACTTTATACCTTAGAGGTTGTTAATATGAGGTACTTGACCAGAGTTCCACTTTCTTGTCAGAGGAGAAAATTTAGATTAAGGGTCTATTTTGACGAATCAGCCAAGACAAAAAGCCTTTAGATTAAGTTACAAAATGACGAAATACTCCATTTTTATATTAAATAATACAACAGTAGTATTTATCTCTTACATATATAACAAAAAAGAGAGTCACCAGACCACAATTTTTTTTTACTTGCTCAACGAATAAATATCGCAATACAGCGAAGAAATTTTGCCAGTATTATAGGAACACTGCCACCGGGACCAAACTTTTTAAATTTTTTTTATCTTATTTGTCCATTTTATTTATTATTATTATTACTTTTATGTTAGATTAAAAATAATATAAACATTCTTATTTTATATTCATTGTTATTTTAAAGTAGAGAAATCTATGTTAAATATTATTGCAGTACAGTAGGGATGAAAGTTCCAACGTCTGTGTTGGTGGCCAAATGTATCAGTAAGGTTTTAAATTTATACAGAACTTATTATATGAAGAATTTGTTCAAACACAAAATATATATCTATTACTTTTACAGATGCGGATCGAAAACTTGTATCGGTGTCGCAATAGCCCAAATGTCGATTTCAGTAACAACTTTAGCAACTGCTGTCTACATGGTACAACTGGACTTGAGATATGATGCTGCACTGTCACCACCACGCCCCTCAGATGCGCATACATGCACCGCTGTGTCTATGGTATCTTAGCACAAATAATCTATTCTTAACATGTTTTCATTTGTTTTTCTATAATCACCAAAAAATTTATATACCTTTAATAGTTTTTCTGTTTAAAAAAAAAACATCTTTTCAAGGAGAAAACCAAGAAATATCTTGTCTGGCTGTAATTAAAAAAAATATAAGTTAGATTTCAATTTTCAATATATCTTGCTGGATATAATTCAGTTTTCACGTTACGACCACTTACTAAGGAGGCGTCTCTATACTTAGGCGAATAGTAAGAGAAGTGGACCGTACAGATTCTTCACGTAGGTACACGCGCGTGGTGTGAGGTTAGATATTAAAATAAAACACGAGACAACGGCGGGTTTTCCTTGATTGTGATTGGTCAAAGAGAAATAACTAAAAAACAGCTGACGAATCACATGTCTAAGAATGGATCGGATACTGTTGAAACGCCATTCTTTCGTCTCGCGGCTTACGGTTATTCTCCTTGATACAGAGAGCACGTGTGTAGCTGCTGTTAGATTAATCTCCCCACACCTCCAGGCGACCCTATCGAGGTGAGGGTATTAATTAATTCCGAGCATCGCACGTGATCAACATGCTAATTAGATAATGGATGTCTACGAGTACTTCATTTAATGAGTGCTTCTTATTAATCGATTAGACATACCTTTAATATATATTTTAAAAACACTATAAAATAATATCATAATTATTATTAGTGTAAGTAGGTACTGTTTACTGCATAATACAGAAATGTTTTTAATGGAATTCTTTTGGCAGGTGCATAAACATTGGTAAGTCTAAACAGATACTTTTAGTAAGAAAATTCGACTAAAGCAAATTTATTGCTATTTTATTGTTGGTGGTTGTTAGGACTTGCCTAATGATGAAACGTTTAAGGATTGGGTCTGTTTATTCCCATAAATAGATGCCCATATTATTCAGAGAAAAATATATATTATATGAACACTTTGTATTTGTTTAATTAACTTTTTTCTCATTAAAAATTTTTTTTTTTTTAATTTATATTAATATATATGAACGAGATAACGTATATAAATTCTATCTAATGCCCATTTGATGTGTGTCTTTAATCCCTTTTAATATCAATCACCTATTTACGAAGCTAGACGGCAACCGATTAAACAATTGCACACCCTCATACCTAATAGATCTCTTTAAATAATTTGTGCGCGGCTTTGGAAGATAAGCAAACTCCTCACAGTATTGCGTGTAGTGGTGTATTTGATTTTATTAAATGATAAGTTACTATGTAGAGAGTTATTTAATTTTTTTAATAAGGATACAGGTGCTATAAAATATAGTTGTTTAATCGTATAATTTTAGTTTTTGGTAGATTTTATTAGTAGGTGTTAAAAAATGTATCTGAATAGTGCTTTTATTAATTTATTTTGTAGTGTTTGTATTGTAGAAATTTTGTTTTTCATGCTGTACCCCATATTTATTAGGTATATGAAATGTGGCTTGATAAACAATTATAGATCAAATATACAGATTGCGGAATGCATTTAGATATTGACCAAAATCTGCCTATAAGTGATTTTAGTTTGGTAATTATGTGTGATATATAAAGTTCCATTTTAAATTTGTATCCATTCTAAGACAGATATTTCTCCCATTTTTGTTATTGATTTAATCTTAATTAGGTTGAAAGATAGGAATGAGTTTGAAAAAAATTTAAAAAAATAAATAAAATTAAAAGCTTTTCCTTATATATTATAAGGTTTTTCCAAATAGATTAAACTAAATAATTACTCAGTAATTTGAGACATAAGTCAATATACTTCTTCCTTCAACCATTGAAAGTGCTTCAAAGCTGTAAATGATGCCCAAAGTATACTCAAAATTTAATCGAATGCTTAATGAAAAGGACTATTATAGTTATTTGAAAGATATCAAAATCTCGTGCCCATACTTAAAGTAATAGCTTGTTTGAATATTTATAATATTGTAATTGTACATGTGCTACTAATAATCCGTCATGAAAATAAAAATTCGAGCAATTAAAAAAATAAAATTGCGTGTATATACGTGAATCCCATATTAAAAATGTTTTCGTATTCCTCTACGTAAATGAACAAAACCTTGTTAATAATGTTTCAGTTTTAACAGCAGCATAAATTTTATACGAACGAAGTGCGTTCGAACGTTCAAAAGTACTTTAACGATTACTTGGCTTAGTAAGTGGGTTATATCCAAAATAACTCAAAAAATATTATACATTATAAACCAAATATGACAAAATTTTTAGTTGAATTAATATAAATTTTGGGTTAGAAAAGCTTTTTTATTCTTAAGCATCTGCCAAATACAAGGTTATAATGTTTCGCTTCTTGTATTTTTAGGTACCACTTACATCAGTCGCAGTGAACAGTGGTGCCAGTGCCGATGGGCCGGATAACAGCCCACTAAATAAAGAACACAAGGATCACCCACCTCCTTCTGAACCCACTTGATGTCGTAATACAGCTTAGTTAAGCCTTGATTTTAATTGTATATGTGAAGTGAGAAGTCAGTAAAGTATTGACGTGTAGAGTATGAGTAGTACTTTATAAGGTTTTTGATGTTTTTATATCTCAATCAATAGTTGTAAACAAACCGTTGTATAGTTTTCGTGAATACATTTGTAAATATCGTGTTTTCAAGTTTCGTGTCCCAATATGGCAACTAGGTTAGACCTCTACCCCTACCAAATCAAATAATGTCGGCATAAATCGAATCCAGGAGCAATTTTTGCGCCACATGTTAATTGCTTTTCTTCGGCGGGGAATACATTGTGTGTATGATAATTGATTATTTCATTAAGTCCGTAATATTGGCAACGTGTATGGTTCAAGTACTATTGTAAATATATAAATAAAATCACATAGAAATCATTTTAATTGCTTTATAAAGAATTCCTCTTTTAAATTGGGTGTGATTATTTCATAAAGATTATTATTTATTTGTTTCATTGAAGCTGTTGTAAATATTCATTAAATATCGTTTTATCTTTAAGTTAAGAAGATGTAGTGGCGCCTACACCTGTTAGCCTCAGATGAATGTATCTCTTTCGTGATCATTTGTTTTTTTTATAGGTAATTAGGGGGTCAGCTTTTTGTGCTTGACACATGACGTAACTTTTTGGAGCTAAGGCATGTCGGTTTCCTCACGATTTTTTCCTTCATCGTACGAGCGAGTGTTAGGTAATAATAATAATAGAGCAAGTATAATTTATACTATACAATGATAATATACAGCTTGAATTTTTTTTATATTTAATACATTATTTATATCCTATTTCTATTTAATACATTATTTATATCCTATTCCGATCGACGATACTGAACGTAGCTATCCTACCCCCTTCACGGGTACGCCTCCTCCAGCTTTTTCCAACTGACTCTGTCTCAATGGCTTTCTTACTCCATTCGCTTCCTGCTACCGCTTCTATTTCTTCTATACACCATTTTTTGGGGCACCCTCTTCTCCTTCTTCCCCATCTATACAGTTGTCTTTAAAGTCCACCTTTTATCTGTGTATCTTGCTATATACCCAGCCCATAGCCACTTCTGTTTTAGGGCATAAAAGTTAAATGTGCACAAAAAGAGAAAGTCCATTGGTGTGGTGCACACCTGGGTTTTCGAAGCGATTACCTCAGGGATACGAGTCGAGGCTGAAGCCACTAGGCCAACACTGCTATCTGAATAAGTCTAACAATTTTTGTATATTTGTTCCTAAGCCACTCATTACATACTGTGCAATTGTTAAGAAATTTATATGTTCACAACGCAGTGGCCACTATTGGATCTAAGTCATAGCTCATTCTCCATAATAGATACAGTTATATTATAAACATTTGTTTTATTATAATTTTAAGAATATGTACAATGAGTATACATTAGTGAATATGTCTACATGTCTACAATACAAAATATAGATAGATTCTATCAATATTTAGGAAGATTTTCTTAAAAGTGAAAACATATTTGCAAACGACCCATTTCCCGAAGAGTCATGTAAACAGTTTTTTTGTTGATTAAATACTTTGATCTATATGTATTTGATATTTTTAGGATGTTAAATGTAAATAAATAGTATGAATTTTGGAGTGTTGTGTTGTTGACCTTATTTCGTATAATAACCTTTATCAAATCTGTTCCAGTTTTGTATGTATCCATATATGGTTTGGGGTTGGAATGTTTGGAAGTGTAATTAATAAGCATTCATCGAATATTTATCGAAATAGATTTATTATTTCAATACCTAGTAACTCTTACTTTAAGTCGCTAATTCAAGTATTAAATTTTGGAAGAATAATGAGATATTTTTCTTATTCATAAAAAAAATAATGCATTTAAAAATTCAAAATCATTTATTCATATAGATATAATGCCCAATGTACACAAATGCTTCTAATTTTACATTTACTGCCAGTTCTCAAATCAAGGGCATAGTACGGAAGATAAGAACTGGCAATAAACTCTCCGCCACTTTTTTTATTCGCCAAGTTTTTTGTTTTACACAACGTTTCTAAGGAGCTGCAACCATTACACTATGTTCCACATGACATCTAAGTAATTAATAATAATAAAATAAATTAAAAACAAATGATTTGTCCCTCTATCAGCAGGAGGCATGGTGAAATAGGAGCATGCACTTACATTTTCGTGGGTACATCACGCAAAAGTACTGTAAATCACACATTATAACAATTAAGAATGGTAAGCCCTAACCATTACATACTCGATATGAACGCCAAATGCCGCTGAACTTCGTCGATCAATCAATTACGCTTCAGCAGCTTCAGCATCAGCCACTGAGCAAAAAGTAAAATAATTGTGAATATTCAATGACCCAGCTACTACTACTCTCAGGAGAAATAATTGTAAAGCCTATAAGAAATAAGAACCGGAGAAATTCTGTATCGTGTCTATCATGGCTGCCCTTATATAAAGTTAGATGATGTTTTAGATGAATTTGTCGTATTTCACTTTAAGTACTAAAAATATCCAAAGTCCAGCTTGACGTCACAGTCATGAAATATTTAAAGCAGTACCAACGCAGTCATTGTTTTACGTAGATTTTATTATCTTCTCGCTAATAAATGCCAGTTAATTCAAATTTATGTGTTTGAAATTTATTCATTCAAACAATGTTATTTAGAAAAAGTCGAAAAAGGGTAATTTTTGAGTTTGTCTTGAATAAAATATAAGATTTATTGTCTTAGAAAGAGTTTATAGTATATTTAATTTCGCCTTTAAACGTTTAAAACTTTTACCATCGGGCATTAGCTCCGTTCTAAATGTTGTAAAATTCTTAAAAATAACAGTTTTTCCCACTTGATTACCTTCAAACATGTGTTAATGCTAAGCCTAAGTAAATAATTCAGTAGTTAAACAGCACTAACTTTTAAGAGTTTTGCAAAAACACTTCGGCCGCGTTTTATGTGATTGATTTACGGCTAAATATTTAGTGGGTTGTTCAAACATGTTCTTTTTTGTATTTGAAAGAAATACTGCAAATAAATCTTTGTTTGTGTAGGAAGGATGTTGTGCTGTCCAAACCACTGACTGACCTAAAGATGCCGTTGGCTAATTTCTAGAAGTTGTATATAGAATATAGAACTCCTCTCTTCTCTAGCGGCCAGAATAACTTCGTTAGCGCGTTTCAGGGTATGACGTCATCGCAGTGATGTAGAATTTAGGTTTCGCTAGAGTTTCTAGACTGACATTAAATCATCGTTAGTGTAACGGACGTGACGTCGCCAGTCACATCCTGCCAAAGCCAAGCCAAAGCCAAAGCCAAGCCAAAGCCAAAGCCAAAGCCAAAGCCAAAGCCAAAGCCAAAGCCAAAGCCAAAGCCAAAGCCAAAGCCAAAGCCAAGCCATGCCATGTTGACCAACCCTCCAATCAACCGCAATGCCTGCCAACCGCAAATTCAGACACTTGGAGGGGATGAGTCTATATAAGCCAAAGCCATATTAAAACCTCATCGTGACGCGCCCCAAGCCGAGCCCCGGGAGGCTCGAGTCTCCCAGGAGACGCCAGGAAACGCCCTTGCGCTAGTCGCGGAAAAACGCTCCATTCTGGTCGAGCCCCGCTACGCCAAAACAGCCCGAGCTGAGCTGTCAAGGCCCTAAAGGCCAACAGCGAGATCCCTTTCAAAAAAAAAAATTAAAACCTACTTTTTGGAAGACGTAACAAATAAAGAACAAGTATGCTGTCACTCTGCCATTTTATTTTCACTGTCAATTATAATAAATTAAAATACAATTATCAATAAAAGAATAGGTCAATTATAATAGTTATGAACAGTTGTCATTCAAATAGTTTGAAATATAAATTTAAAAACCTACACAAAGCGCCACAAGATTTTAGTTATCAACAAATCAAAATTTAGATTGATATTCGTATGATTAATTAATGTAGGTAACTTATAGGTAACGCGACACCCAGTGGACTCTCTATACTTACTTATAAAACCTCCACTACATTACATTAGAATATAAATCATAATTTTTCCAAAAGCCCAAATTTATTATAAGGTTATTTGTATATCATTCCAATGATTTTTAATAAAAAATACTTTATATAAAAGAAGAGCTGACCCACTTGAAACATAAGATGAAAATAATTTAAAAACTACTCGGGAGCATTATGACAAAACACCCAATGATAAGTACTAAATTGCTGTTTGGTATCTGAGAGAGAAAATCTAAATACACAACCTTTTAAAAGCTTCACAGGAATCGACAAACATAATAAGAAAGGATAAGCCAATTATTTATTTTACCTTAGTAATGTTTGGTCGATTTCTGAACATTATTTAAATATCTGCAAAAACGAGCAGTGTTGGCCTAGTGGCGACGGCGTGCGACTCTCATCTGTGAGGTCGTAGGTTCGGTCCCCGGCTGTGCACCAATGGACTTTCTGTCTATGTGCGAATTTAACATTCGCTCAAACGGTGAATGAAAACATCGTGAGGAAACCCGCTTGTCATAGACCCAAAAAGTCGACGGCGTATGTCAAGCATAAGAGGCACGTACTTGCCTATTGACAGATGATCATGAAACAGATACAGAAATCTGAGGCCCAGACCTAAAAGGTTTTAGCGCCACTGGCTAGTTTTTGTTTATATCTTTACGAACAGGATTTTGAAAGGAACCTAAAGATTATTATCGTTTAAAGTCATTAATTAATCCCATGAGGTTGATAAATCAGATAAACTTCTGCGATAGACGCAGTCTTTGTTATTTTAATATAAGCAATCATAAGCCAGCTGTTGAGGCCATCTCATGACCTCTACCTTACAATCCGCAACAATTATTGTTTTTCTAAAATGCGAATTTATCACAAAGTTCCAGAAAATATTTCAATTATTAATATTTTTTAGTTATATTTTTTTTTTTTTTTGCAATTACACTCTTCTATATTATCTTTATTTAAAAAAAAAAAAAAAAAAAAAATGTTTATTA